CCAGCCACTTTACTAGCAAACAACGTCTTATCTAGAAATATCATACTTTGCCACAAATCAGCTTCTTATCTACCTGACATTTAAAGATTTAAACATTTTTACATGCACAAGCAAGTTCTTATCTAATTTAAGCAGTCTAATGTAACATTTCTAGATGTCACAAACACATTCAATCCCACAAACACTTCTTATCTTCTTTAAGCAGTTTAATGTCTTGTGACTCTGTTCCTTTAGCCTAGAGAAATTACATCAATGTATTTCTCGTGCTTCTGGCATATGGGCAATGATGCTTTATTTTAAAAATTCCACAAGAAACAAAGGGTCCAAGGCCAACACATTTTTTAGGCATTACAATACCGTTGAAAGCGTTTCGTTATATCTGTATGATAAGTGCAAAAAATACCTGTTCATTGTGTCAGAAATTCAGAGCTGTCCTGTGTCTTGTGCACAATTCCTACATTATCTCAAGAAGTTTAACCACTTGCGTTCCTGAGCATTTACCCCCCTTCCTGACCAGGCCATTTTTTGCAATACGGCGCTACATTTACTTTAACTGGCAATTGTGCAGTCATGCAATGCTGCACCCAAATGAAATGTATGCCCTTTTTTTCACCATGAATTGAGCTTTCTTTTGGTGGTATTTGATCGCCTGTGCGGTTTTTATTTTTTGCCCTAAAAAAAAAAGACATAATTTTGAGAAAAAAAAAAACAATATTTTTGACTTTTTGCTATTAAGCATGTCCAGTAACAAAAAATTTAAAAATCTAATTTTGTCATAAATTTCGGCCAAAATGTTTTCTGCTACGTGTCTTTTCTAAAAAAAAATCTCAATACATGTAAGTTAATTGGTTTACGTGAAAGTTAGTGTTTACAAAAGGCAGTATAGATACTGGAATTTTTTTTAATTTTTACTAGTAATGGCGGCAATCAGTGACTTATAGCGGAACTGCTGCGGGCATTCTGACACTGGAGGGGAACTGACTTGGTGTCACTGACATTCCCGGTGACACCAATACAGTGATCAGTGCTAAAAAAAAGCACTGACGCTGTACTAATGGCACTGGGCAGGAAGGGGTTAACATGAGGGTGATCAAAGGGTTAACTGTGTGCTGTTTTGCTTGTGTCTGTGTGCTTTACTGTAATCACACTGCTTTGGATGGCTGTGCTGTGCACAGCCATGCAAAGCAGTGTGCACAAGCAGACAGGACGGAGAACTGTATTGTTTACAGTTCTCCTCCCCATTGGAGATGCTCAGCAATCACTGGGCACCGGGCACTCTCGAGTAATCACCAGCCAGGACCCGGTGATTGACAGCCGCGTCCATGAATTTCCTACCCGGAAATGCAAAATCACTTATATATGCGTGTTTTTGCTAGCCCGTACCACCCTGTAGCAGTATATCTGCTATAGGGCGGTCATGAAGTGGTTAATTAGCCTTCTCAGTTCATATCTTGGAACTACAGAATGAGTAGCCTTAAAGAATATGTAAGCCCAACATTTCATCATGGTGATATGTGCCTACTGTACCATGTACGTGTATTAAAAAGTATCTTGTTCTCTTTGTATTGCTTTGTGTGAAATCCCTGGTGTTCCTGCCAGTCCCTCTGCTTTCCTGTTAAAAACTGACCACACTAGGCAGGAGAGCACAGCGTGGTCAGTTCTCAAACTGTGCTGAGAACTTGACCTGCTTCCCTCCAATGTTGAGACTTGTCATAACATGGAGGAGATCAGTGTAATGCTGTTTCTCCTCCCCCAGTTCTTATCACTTAAAAAAAAAAGGGAAATGTGTATAATGCTGTATATCTATACACAAATGTTTTGCTTTTCATTTTTATTTTAAACTGAATGGGTTGTTTTACAAGGTGAGGGTTTACAATCACTTTATTATTGGGGAGCTGGGAGAATGGATGGGTCTGAGTTGTTTTAGGGAAAAACATAGTGGGCAAGGCTGACACCACTCAGTCCATAAAATTTGGTATTTGGTACACTGAATTTCACAGAAATCTGGTGAGACAGAAGAAGAGGAGGAGGAAGAAGAGGAGAAGAAACCAGACCCTCTACACCAACTCATCCTTCATTTTAGCAGAACAGCACTGACAGAAAAAACGTGAGTGCATACAGACGGCTCTCATTTTTATATGAAACTTTCCTTGTTCTGAACTCATCACAAAATTATTTTCTCTGCAGTAAGCTGGAAGAAGATTACTTGTATATGGCATATGCAGATATCATGGCAAAAGTAAGTTGGAAAATGCATAGTGTGACATTGACATACACAAATTCAATTCTATGCATTTGTTTTTAGAAGAATGATAAAATTATATATATATATGTCATAAAATTATATACATATATATATATATATATATATATATATATATCATATTTTTAAATCTATCTATATTTCAAAGTGAACTGTAATTGACCTCTATCCTTACTTGGCTTTTAGTTGGCCATTTTATTTGGCCTTTTTGTTTGGTGCTGATATCTATTATTTATTTATTACAGGAACTTATATATCGCTGTCAATTTACGCAAGGCTTTACATATAGTATATATTGTACATTCAGTCCCTGCCCTCAGGGAGCATACAATCTATGGTCCATTACTCACATTCACAATACACATACTAGGGCCAATTTAGACAGAAGCCAATTAACATACCAGCATATCTTTGGAGTGTGGGAGGCAACCAGTGTACCCAGAGGAAACCCACACAGGTACAGGGAGAACATGCAAACTCTGTGCTGTGGTTGAGATTCCAACTGATGACCCTATTGCTAACCACTTAGCCACTGTGCTGCCTACAGTAGCCTTACTCATGAATTTGTTTTCTTGTAAACGTGCATCCAAAGTCTCTGTTAGCCTAGAGTCACACTATTGTGGGTCCTGCCTGTTTTGTTTGTACAATCACAGCAGCCCATTCTACTTTTGTGCAAGCACAGTCCTTTTTTTTTTTTTTAATGTGGCTGCATGGAACTGCATGGAGCTTTGGCAGCATGAGGTTTCATGCATCTGCCACATTTTCCATTGCTTGGGGGGTGCCTTAACAATTATTGGTGTTCCCCCATACATCTGCTAAAGAGCAGCACCGTATGCCTGTGGGCAGGGGCGGACTGACAACTCATGGGGCCCTTGGGCAAAAGGGGATCATGGGGCCCCTGTGTCCTCGCCCACACCCAAAAAAGCATATGAAAAAAGCCAATGAAAGCTACCAGGGGCATCTAATGGGGCCCCCTACTGACCCCCTGCCCTCAGGCAGTGCCCAAGTGCTCGAATGGTCAGTCCGCCCCTGCCTGTGGGTCAAGAGACACATGCAGTTTATGCAGTTTTGCATCCCACACAGATATGAACCTTAAAGCCTAACTCCAGGTTTACTTTCACTATAAATAGTTTGTTTGGCCAAGCTGGCCTAAAAAAATCTTTACCAATGCATCCGGCTACTGTCAGTGTTGTGTAAACTGCATGGACCATCAACTGCATAAGGTATAGAACTATCAGCTCTATTCAGCAGATGTTTAGGATAAAGAGGTTAGTTTAGCATTGATATATTACTCCAAATAGAAACACTTCTTCTCTCCACCCAGAGTTGCCATGTTGAAGAAGAGGGAGAAGCTCCCGAAGATGAAGAAGAAGCTGAACTTACATTTGAGGTATGTTGTACCTTTCATTATTTCTTTTGTCTCTAATCCTTTTTTATGTTCCTCCTATTCCATAAACCCTTCCCATTCTGAAAGACACAAAACTTTGTAGTGTATGTTGTGTGCTTCAGTCGTCACGCTGCTTCTCTGCTTTGTCTCTTTAACACCTTTGGCAGTAGTATTATCTGGACAAGGCTTCCATGTTGGTACTCTTCACAAATTAATTAGATGATGAATTGGTAATAATTTAAAGCTGAACTCCAGGAATGATATACAGTATATTGCATACTTACAATGGGCAGCTTAGTGCATTGTAATTATGCATACAGTGGGGCAAAAAAGTATTTAGTCAGCTACCAATTGTGCAAGTTCTCCCACTTAAAAAGATGAGAGAGGCCTGTAATTGGCATCATAGGTAGACCTCAACTATGAGAGACAAAATGAGAAAAAAAAATCCAGACAATCACACTGGCTGATTTGGAAAGAATTTATTTGCACCCTGAAGATCATGGTCATCACTGTAGTAGCTTGGGAAACTACAGTCGTTTTCAGTTTCCACAGAGGTCAGTCATGTATTATATATAGATATTTACATTGGGCCAAGCTGGTCAAATGTATGTATGCAAAATATGGCATCCATGGAGTTCAGCTTTAATTTAAAGCAAACCTTGCACGATATATTGTATGTGTATGTAAATGTGTGTGTATGTATATATGTGTGTGTATATATATATATATATATATATATATATATATATATATATATATATATATATATATATATACATATATATATACACAAACACACTATGTTGCCAAAAGTATTGGTCGGCCTGCCTTTACACAGCACATGAACTTTAATGGCATCCCAGTCTTAGTCCATAGGGTTCAATATTGAGTTGGCCCCGCCCTTTGCAGCTATTACAGCTTCAGCTCTTCTGGGAAGGCCATCCACAAGGTTTAGGAGGGTGTCTATGGGAAGGTTGGACCATTCTTTCAGAAGCACGTTTGTGAGGTCAGGCACTGATATCGGACGAGAAGCCCTGGCTCGCAGTCTCCGCTCTAATTCATCCCAAAGATGTTTTATCGGGTTAATGTCAGGACTCTGTGCAGGCCAGTCAAGTTCCTCCACCCCAAACTCCCTCATTCATGTCTTTATGGACCTTGCTTTATGCACTGGTGCGCAGTCATGTTGGAAAGAGGAAGGGGCCATCCCCAAACTGTTCCCACAAAGTTGGGAGCATGAAATTGTCCATATGTCTTGGAATGCTGACACCTTAAGAGTTCCCTTCACTGGAACTAAGGAGCCAAGCCCAACCCCTGAAAAACAACCCCACATCATAATCCCCCCTCCACCAAACTTTACACTTGGCACAATGCAGTCAGGCAAGTACTGTTCTCCTGGCAACCACCAAACCTAGACAGGTCCATCGTATTGCCAGACAGAGAAGTGTGATAAGTCACTCCAGAGAACACGTCTCCACTGCTCCAGAGTCCAGTGGTGGCGTGTTTTACACCACTGCATCCGACACTTTGCATTGCACTTGGTGATGTAAGGCTTGGATGCAGCTGCTTGGCCATGTACACCTATTCCATGAAGCTTTCTATGCACTGTTGTGCTAATCTGAAGGCCACATGAAGTTTGGAGGTCTTTAGCTATTGACTCTGCAGACAGTTTGCGACTTCTGCGCACTATGCACTGGCCCTGCTCTGTCATTTTACGTGGCCTACTACTTCATGGCTGAGTTGCTGTTGTTCCCAGTTGCTTCCACTTTGTTATAATACCACTAACAGTTGACCGTGGAATATTTAGTAGCAAGGAAATTCCACGGATTACTTATTGCACAGGTGGCAACCCATCACGGTACCACGCTTGAATTCACTGAGCTCCTGAGAGTGACCCATTTTTTCCCAAATGTTTGTAGAAACAGTCTGTATGCCTAGGTGCTTGATTTTTTGCACCTGTGCCCATGGACGTGATTGGAACACCTGAATCCAATGATTTAGAGGGGGGTGTCCCAATACTTTTGGCAATATTGTGTTTGTGTGTATATATAAGTATGTGGATGCTCAGTAATGTGTAAATGCAACACTTCCAGGTATTGATATCTCACACAAAGATCACAGTACTTCCTCTGACAATGCAAACGCAGACAAAAAAAATCCACTGACCTTGTGCAATAAAAGAAAATAAAATTGCACCGTGAAGCAGTGCAGTACGCCTGTTAGTAGTCTGCACAGAGGCAGGATGGCACTTGGATATGGCCCACTTTGACCAATGGGGTAAAATAAACAGCCAGAAAACTCTGTGGCTTTTCTAAGGACCTAGCTATAAGTGCAAGGTGATCTCTGGTGTTTGGGAGTTTGCTCTGGTCACGTAGCACAGACTTTCAGATCATGTGCAGTAACTAGGCATTTTGGGGGCATAGCCACCTTTTCTAAAGGCTTGAGTTATAGAAAAGTACTCTGAAAATGTTCAGTTGAGTACCCATCCAGGGACAAATCATCTGACCCACAGGCCTGGGCCAGAAACTGATGTTCCCCCATTCTCGACAACTACTACCCAGTCCATGAAGGACTCACAGCAATAGGGAGGCAACTTAAAAAGATAACTAGCCACACCACCAAGCAGTTTAAACTGCAATTTGAATAACTGAGGCATAAGGACTTGTAGTTCTCAATGGAACACAGGTGTAGTTATCACTACACTCCTAGTCGATTGACACTTCCTCCAGCTCTATAACTAAAAGTCTGTACCTTGATACAGACAAAGAGCTGGAGAACCAGTCTAAAGAACCCTGGAATTACACCTGTGATCCACTGATAGCAGTTGCAATACTTTGCAGGCTGATTTGCAAACAAAATAAATGCATATTTGTTATTCTACAAAATATATGTATCTGCATTAATTATTTTTTTTGTAAAAGGTGGATTTAGTGTTTGACACAGAATCCTGCACTGTTAGTATACAAAACTGTCTTTTCTATAAAGCAGGGTGAATTTTTACATTTGGAGCTGCCTCCAAAATTCTAGACAGGCAGCTCCATTTGTTGAGGGCCATGGGAACTAACGCTCAGAGCTGCCACCTTTTTGCACTAGGGGCAACATGTACCAGAGAAGATGGCAATAATATGGCAAGCAGACAGTGGGAGAGCAGTATTGGCAGGGGGATGGGTCTCATCTATAGTGAGTGCAGGGGGTTCCAGCTCATGCCCAACGGTACCCTATTCTGTCACTGGAAGATGGATGGTGGAGTCTAGCTGGACTGGTGGAATGGGACACTGCTCTGTGGTGTCTCTTTCAAAATGTCACATCCTGAGCAGTTGTATGTGTCATGGGACTGAGAGGCACCTATATGATAGCGTCAGGTTATGATACAGAGACACCACAATGTACAGCTCGCTTCTAAGTTGGGGCACCCCACAATGTTAATGTCACATGAACGTGGCCCTGCCTGGTCCTAGGCATTAGTGAGCATGTACATGGGAGAATCCAGAAGAAGAGTGTGGGAGAGCAAAAGACCTTGGTATGCACCTGGCGAGTGGGCCACGCACACAACTGGTCTCCTTTTTGCTGCAAACTCTTCAATACTAATATCATCTCCTTTCAAGAATCCAACCTTACTCCCTCATATTTCTTACTTGACCCTCCACTTGTTTTACCTAACTGGTGAATTGTGAACATCCATGAACAATGAGACGGCTCTCTTACAATAGGGATCTTCTTAGTAGTGGTATTGTTTCTATGATCAACATGATCAATAAAGTTTACAGTGCCAGGAAACTGATTTTGTGGGAGGCAGTAGCTGAATTTTGTTGTCCAATGCCCAACACAGATTATTTATCATTACCAAATATACAAATACATAATTTTTAAAACCATATTACTTTTTTCAGTTAACTCTATATTGATTGTCATTACAGGAGAAAGAAATGGAGAAACAGAAGCTATTGTACCAGCAGTCTCGTCTGCATAACCGTGGGGCTGCTGAGATGGTCTTGCAAATGATCAGCGCGTGTAAAGGTGAGAATTCAACCTATAGCAACAAAATTAAATATGCCTGGCTAGCTAGACAATTGTTCCTTTTTTAGAAATCCAGTAGATCTCTGGCATGGTTCTTTCTTTTAAATGATCCATTTTTCTTTGGTCTCTCAGGGGAACCAGGAGCCATGGTCTCCTCCACGCTTAAGCTAGGAATTTCCATCCTTAATGGAGGAAATTGTGAGGTCCAGCAGGTAAGAAAAAAAAAATCAGCGGATGATGATCCTGTAACAAAGCAAATGAGTAAAGAGGAAATGTGGGAGCTGCCTTTTTTGAGGCCTCCTTCTGAAAACACAGTCGTCCTGCTCCTCCGTTAGCTTCATTACTTTCTGAGCCACTGACAATATAGATATTCAGATAAGGAATTCTAACCTAATTCTCACTTTCTTGATCTGCACACTTGTTAAAGGTCATTGACAGAGGCTGGAAATGGTCAGTTGGCAACTTCAGAAGCACCAATGACAAATTCTGTATTGCAACTTGTACAGGTTTCCTTTACAAAATATATTCTTGAATAGGGATAAATTCAGGCATATTCGGATCCTAGTCTGAACCCACTTGAGTGATCCCTCCAGGAAGCTTTCGCTGTACTGGGCCAATCATAAGCAGCTGAGGAATTCTTCACCCCTCCCAACTGCATGTATACATGCCCCTTATATACATGTGGCTGCAAGGTGGGGAATGCCTTGGTTGCTTATGATTGGCACAGTACAGGTGATATCTTTCCAGTATTGCATATGACTATTGTATATTTTCCTTTGCAGTCCGGTGAACCTGTATGTTCCTATTTACAGTTTCACAAAGCTAACTTTATGGATTTGCTAAAAAAAAAAAAAAAGATTTTTCAGAGTTGTATAGCTGGAGCTTCAGTTACACAAACAGCTGAACAGTTCACAGCAGAGACTCCCCACCTCATGCTGTTCTCACCGGCACCTTGTGTGGAGTATGAGTTAGGCAGACTTGAAATGTAGCAGCTAGTGCTAGGCTTACTCATTGAAAAGCTTAGGATACACTGCAGAGTCCTTTCTATATCCACAGCTTAAGAACAATAGCTTCCTTTGAAGACTTCTTATGTAGGTCATTTGTTTGGTGACAAAATTCCCTTTAAAGCTCTCTGACCCCTCCAATGGCAAAAAGCACAGTAAAATAAAAATAGTAGAAACAATCTAAAAATACCCTAACATACAAGTCAAGGGTGATGTCAGTGGAATTTTTTGTGGGCTCTTGATAATGCTGATGATCTCACATCTTGTGACAAGATGGTGCTGGAGTGTCTTTTTGTGAGATATGTGATCTGCAGTTTTACCAGGATCCCAGAAAGCCTAGTGATGTCATCAATGCATACATGAAGCTGCGGGAAGTAGGGGTGTAAGGTAATTATTTAATACCGGACAGTTTTATTACAGTTTGAGGAGTGATATATAGAACTTTATTTTACCCTACTCAGTAGCCAACAAGTCTATCCAGCCTTTTTTACTTTTACTACAACCACTTCAGAGGAAATTTCTCCATAAATGTGTCAACTTATTTTACAGAAGTATTCATTAGGAATGTTCTGCTCCCTCTAGCATCGACTCTTTTTTCTTTTTTTTGCAGAAAATGCTGGATTATTTGAAGGACAAAAGGGAAGTTGGCTTTTTCCAGAGCGTACAGGCCCTGATGCAGACTTGCAGGTATGCTCCACAAATGTATGTCCGTAGTCAGTGAGGCAACATAAATTATGTGCAACAACCAATGGTGCTCTTCAGCTGTGAGTGTTGAACAGAGATATTAATGGGTTTGCTTGCTGTAACTTTAAAGGAAAATTATGATGTACTTAAAGTGATTACATACTGTATTTTAAGGTTTATTTGTGGTGTTTGAGTGGGCAAGGTTTCTTTAAGGGTTGTGATTAATGGTTATTAATCAATTTTATTTTATAATTTTTTTTATTATACATTTTTAAACCCATGTTGTCTGTTTTTGATTGTATATACAATCTCTGTTGTATAACTAAACATTTTAATTAAACATGTCAATAGATTATCAGAGCACTATGGGTTAGCTTTAGAACATCACACAACATAAAAAAACAGCAATGCTGTGCTGTCTCTTAAGCTAACCCATAGTGCTCTGATAATCTATTGACATGTTTAATTAAAATGTTTAGTTATACAACAGAGATTGTATATAGAGAGTTATAGAACTAGATGGTCCTTCATGAAATACCATGGTTGATTTATATGCACTGATACACTGTATGTCTAACTCTTATCCCTCTCTCTCTTCTTCTCTGTGTATTGCACAGCGTCCTTGACCTGAACGCCTTTGAACGCCAGAATAAGGCAGAGGGACTTGGCATGGTGACAGAAGACGGTACAAGTGAGTAATGTGTGCCATGAATCTGACATTATAGATTCATTGGTACCATAACCTAAGCTTAAACTTTAAATCAAGATAGTTCCAGGGGTTATCCATCACTGGCTGACTTCTACCTCTCTTGCTGCAGTATGATTTAATGTTTAACATATATTTTCATTTTGGGTGAATAGTGGAATGTTGAATCACCCACTCATTTCATCTATGTTTTATGGACCATGGACAGGAGAACTGTGTGCCGAGTTTCAAAGCTTCAACACCCCTGCAGCAACCTTTGTGAGGAGGTTTCCCACTTTTGGTTATAGAGGGCAACCTGCTAAAGTGGGCTATACACAAGTAAAATATACTTCAAAATTTTTCATTCTATGAACTTTCATTCAAATCACATTAGTGGGGTCAAGTTGACATTTGTTTTCAACTGCAGTGACTAGAAAATTCAAAGGAGCAGGATGGAAATTTTTTTCTTGAACAAAGAAATTTCCAACAGTGGGGAGATTTACTAATCCTGGAGAGTGCAAAATCTGGTGCAGCTGTGCATGGTAGCCAAACGACTTCTAACTCCAGCTCGTTCAATTAGGTCCCTTCTTGATGGGGGGACTCCGTTATGCATATTCGCCTGCTCAGCGGGGGATCTCTCCACTGATCTCCATTGAGCAGGCGGATAACAGGTCTGTGTCCACTCTGATATTTATTTATATTTCAGGTACTTATATAGCGCCATCAATTTACGCAGCACTTTACATATATATTGTACATTCACATCAGTCCCTAACCCTCAAGGGGTGTACAATCTAAGATATATGCAGTGCGAACACAGCCCGCTATGGGGTGGTCAGGTGGAAATGGACCGCCTGTCTGTTTCCATCAGACTGTCATCTGATCCAATCCACCAAACAAATGGGGAACAGATTCCCATCCACCTGTTTTTAGTGGACAGGATTGGATCAGATTGGATGTCAGCATTCTGCTGATATCCGCTGTTCCATAGAGAGATATGGATGGTCCAATCGGGTCTGCATGAAAACCTGACAGGCAGACCTGATTGGTCCATCAGTGTGAAATGGGCCTTAAGCTTTGACTAAAAAAAAAAAACTGGAAGATGATTGGTTTCTGTGCAGAGCTGCACCAGATTTTGCTCTCCAGTTTTATTAAAGTGTTACTAAACCCACAACAGTAAAATCTGTCTGTGTATGCAGTAAAAGCATGCTTGTTATACTCACTGTGGAACCTAAGGGGTTAATCCTCCGCATTGTGCAAAAAGGCTGTTTGAACCTTTCTTTTTTCTGCCCCTCCTCTTGTTGAAATGACCACCTGATGCAGACTGAATCCGTAGTCACATGCTCAGTTTGGTGTGTGTTGCTAGAGAGGTTCTTTTTTTTTTTTCTTGGGAGAGTACATGTGATCAGCACAGGGCCAATCAGCACTGTCCAGACAGAGGGTCAAGGGTTTCACATCCTTGTAGAACAGAAACAAAACTCTTCCTACAAGCTTTAACCAGTGCTCTGCTTGAGTCACAAGACTACTCTAACTGCTGATGAGAAAAGGTATTTAGCAGTTTGTATATACTAAAATAATTGAAGTTCCATGTTGTGTGTACTGTGGGAGACCAGACATAGTGAATGCAGGGTCCTGGGTTTAGTAGCACTTTAAATTAACCCCAGTGTATGTGTTTTTTTATTTGAGAAAGTCCATTCTTTCCAAAATTGAGTGTTAAACGCAATTAATAATTTTGGAGTACTTTTGAAAAAAATTTGCCAAGTCATCTGAGAATTTTCATACAAATGTACGAAACAGTTTTTCGAACATATATTAGTGTATGGTCAGCTTAAGTGGGAGACTCCAGAGAGGAGAATATACAGTACTTTATGAGAGATATAGAAAGCCAATGGGTAGTTCCAGGGGTGGGGCTGACAACTCATGGGGCCCCCAGGCAATATGGGATCATGGGGCCCCTGTGTCCTTGCCCAAACTCAAAAAAGCCTATGAAAAAGGTACCAGGGGCATCTCATGGGGCCCCCTACTGACCCCAGGCCCTCAGGCAGTGCCCGAGTTTCTAAATGGTCAGTCCGCCCCTGGGTAGTTCATACTTCCAGGCCTACCCATAAATGAAATACCATTACGAAGAACTTTTGACTGTTACTGGATTCCAATGACTTTGCAGTTTTATACTTGAGTGATCAATTATCTCGTTGCAGCCTATATTATCATGTAACTGTGAAAAAATTCTTTATTGGTCTTTTTACACATATTTATTTTTATGCCGCAAACCTTATTCACTGAAGATGCATTGCAAGTAGAAATCCTTATTCTATTCTATGGGCAGGTTCACATCTATGTGCTGCAGCATCAAGAATAATGGCAACCATATTGGCCCATTCCCAAATAGACATTTGCATAATCATGCACACAGAACAGTGTAAATCCACCCTAAATGTTTTAAACAGTATGCTTGGGTTTAGATTAAGGATAATTTGTATTTGTTTTACAGGAAGGAAGTTGACTTTACTTCATAAATATTCTAAATGAGCATTATATTCTTTGTCATTTATTTTAAGCTCTACTAAATAATGAAAATGTCTGTATTTAATGATTTACAGAGCAATTCTGTGTATAGTACATGATTATAGTTTATGATTTTAATATGTGTCCATTAAATTATTTCCAGTGAGGTCATTAGCTTTAGTTACTGTTCTTTTTTATTAGAAGCAACATTTGAAGTAATTTTTAATGTGCCACTACCTGTACCTTTATCTTCATGTATATCTGACTTGCATTTTCCCCAACCAACCCATCTCCTTCCTAATCCCATCACCTTTAAACACCCAAACAATAATATGATCTGTATTACAGTTGTACTGTGTCTTTCTCTTTCTTTCTTTTTTGGGAAGTGGGTGGGGACTGTTCTATTCTTGGCACCATCTAATTAATGTGTTTGATATAATGATATTCACGTTTTCCTTCCTGTTCCCTGACATGTGGTTGTGCCCCCCTCCTTTTCCTGCCTGCCTCTTTCATTCCCTGACCTACTTGGTACCCAGTCATCAACCGTGAACAGGGTAAATGTTCATTTAAACCTCACTCCACCACCGCTTCTACTAACAGATCACTGTCCTCCCTTCTCCTCTCTTCCTCAGCTAGCCATGGCCACCCCAAAGAGTTTTTAGTCCTTATATAGAATATTTGGTCATTATATATAAAATCTCGTGGGTACATAAGGAAAACGGATCTCCCAGACACAGAATGTTATCACTTTATATATCACACTGCTCTCTATGGGAGTATTGTGGTCAGTCCCATACAGTTAGCATAAAGACATTGATGTCTTGTACAACTGTATAGGGTTCTACCTTTAAATATAGTGATCAGCTCTGTACAACTGTTCTGCAGGATCTACAGGGGTAATGAGGCTGCTTTATACATTATGGCTAAGAGTTTATAAGAAGTATACTGCTCAGTTATATACAGCTGATCTCCAGGGCATACACAGACAGTTATTCTATTCTAGAAACTGGAAAGACTTCTGGAGTTTTTCTAATTGTAGTGTTACTATTTAATGTATTTGCCTTGCTGCATTCATATGTAAACATAATTGAATGGTGTAGCCATGGTCAGCTCAGCGAATTCCATCACCACTAATTCACTTGCACTGTGATCCTCTTACTTTCCCAACTAATCATTGACCCCCTTCCTACCAAAGCCTCAGGTGTCAGTGAATTATGGTGACCTTACAGAAGCCTGTGCCTTCAGACTTCTGTCCATTTCTTCATTGATAGTAACTGAGCCAATGGTCAGTAGAGATTACTGTTCTGTGCAACTTCTTCCTATTTAATACACAGTGGTTCTGCTGGCTTCCCTTCTGGCTACTTCCCGTGGATTAGAATGGACCAACAGTGTACATGAGGCTATTGGTTGTGGGTTTTAAATTGTGTCTAAAGCCAATCCTTTTTTTGGATAGAGTGGCAAGAGCCTTTGTCACCAGATCTGAAAGTGAATTAACTCCAACATTTCAAGCTATCTGCTAAACAGGAAGTGAAGGGAATTATTTCAATTAGGACACTTTCTCTGGTGACAGCTCTTTAAAAGGGGGTTTCCCTTACATGGGAAAAATTTCTTCTTCCTTTACTGTCAATAGGACAGGAAGTGCAAGGAAATCTCTCTAATGGGACAAGGGTTTTGCCATCTTCTTTTGTACCCAAAATGAAGAAAAAAAAAGTTTTAGCTTTAGATATCAGTTTATATGTACCCATTCAGTGGATGCCTATCCTTTGTTTGGTCTAGAGACCACTTTATGTCAAGGTCTAGCTGACTAGATGATAAGTCTGTATGGTTACCCCTCCCTTCACCACCTGCTGGTGACCTAATTGCACAAGTTCAGTTTCTTCTGGTTTGTAGTGTATTGAGTTTGGGAATGAACTAACTTCTCTCTGAGTGAATCTCGCCAAGCTGGATTATAACCCACAAGCCTGCTGCTGTTTGTTTCTTCTTTGTCTCTTTCACTGTTTCTTTTTCTAAATTCCTTCTGTGGTTATCTTTGTATCTTCTCACTTTTTCTCTCTATCCTATCAGTTTTAGTATTCCGTCTTTACTTTCCTTTTTAATCTTCTGCTTCCATTCTTTTTCCTTCTTGTTCTTCTTTCTTAGTCATATCTCGTGACTTAGTGTCCCACCACATCAATTGGTGTATTGGTCTCATTCTTTCCTTTTCCTATCTTTTACTCCAACCAGTTTATTTCCGCCTCTTTCCAAATTTGCTTCTCATGTATTATGTTCTGCTCCTGTCTTTACTGTCACCTAATGTTATGTGTGCCTATCTCTAATTTCTACCATTTTCTATGATCAACAACTCAAGGAGAGAAGGTGATGGCAGATGACCAGTTCACCCAAGATCTGTTCCGCTTACTTCAGCTGCTTTGTGAGGGACACAATAATGGTATGAAATACAGAAGGTTGTTCAGACATAAGACATACGATGGTTGTAAAACTATTTAGAGTATAGCTGAGCATTTAGCAGTAGGGTAAAGAAGACCTATGAATATATTTTCAGCATCTACATGAATAAATTCCTGATGTGCCACAATGTATAGCAATAGTATAATTTAAAACATGGTCTTTAAGAGCCAGTCAAGTTACTATGCAAAGAAAATATGCAATTTGGGAGAATGTTGTCATCAGTCTCCATCGGGCTGCTGGAACCATTTTCTCAGCCTCCGCTCCTGCAAAGATGCTTCACATAGGCTGTAGTAAAATTATTACTTTCTAGATTAACATGTGAAGTTAAGCAGGGGGTTTATCTCTGTGAAATAACTCCTCTATAAGCTGCCATTTTATTTCAGGAATATTTTTGCTACAATAAAATAAACTTTACTGCACTCACTCCTTGATAGGCGTACAAATGACTAAATTTTACAAGTAGGGACACGTTTCATAAGTAGGGGCACAGACAGCAATGAACATTGAACAAATGGCAAAATCCAGTACACCAGGATAAAAATCAAATGTTTTACTGTCAAAAACTAAACATTTTGCAAACACGGAGGTCCCCTTTGTCAAGGTTGACAGATTGTTGACATGGAAATTCAGTAAAACTTTTGGACTTTTATCCTGGTGGTGCTATCTATTGGGATTTGTTAAATTTTATAGCTATGACCCTACGTACGAAATGAAGGCAATTACCTTCAACAGGGACATGGAGGAGAAGAAAAACATATATTAATAAAAAGGGAGGGTTAGAACGTATTTTCCCTTATGTCCCTCAGATGAAAGCTCCCGTCTATTTCTTTTCCTGGTTTTTAGGATATAAGGGAAAAGTTTCCCGTTGAGGTCACAGACCGTGCCGAAAAAGCTTAACCACTCTGTCCAAAACCTAAACAAAATTTGCATGACATTAGGTTAGGCTTTTATCATGCATAATCTATAAAACACCACTGTATCTTTAGATGGCACAACCACTACAAGCCATATGTAGAATTATATAAAGAGAATTCTGCTACAAACAGTTGGGTGGAGGTGGGTAGGTGTGCAATGATGTAGTTCAGTGCACAGCAGAGATCATGCAGATCTGCATAGGGGTAATGTCCAGCATGTCGAGGAGCACCATGAGAGTAAGTTCTGATGACAGCGGTCACTGGGGAAAGGCTGCAAAGATTGTCCTTACATTACAATGGCGATAATGGCCAGAAGGGACCTTGCTATATCAGGTTGTGTGGAAGGCAGATGGTGGAACTGCCACAAGATAATTCCCATTGGGCTGTACCTTATGTAGCACCTTCTTCTTTTACAGATTTCCAGAACTACCTGCGTACACAGACTGGTAACACCACTACCATCAATATCATCATCTGCACAGTGGATTATTTGCTGCGCCTACAGGTAACAGCCATATATACAAAACCATTTTTTATACATATATATATGTTATTCTTTATAAAGTCTACTCATCTTTTTTTGTTATAATTATTCCCAACCTCAGGAATCCATCAGTGATTTTTACTGGTATTACTCTGGCAAGGACATCATTGATGAACAGGGCAAAAGAAACTTTTCTAAAGCCATGTCTGTAGCAAAGCAAGTGTTCAACAGCCTTACAGAATATATTCAGGTAACAGGAGTTAAAGGGTATGCAACATTCTGCAACCCTGTGGCCTGACGCAACAATGCTAATAGCTCCTTGCCAAGCTGGAGCCTAGCTGGGGAGCGGGTCAAATAGATTGGGAAAGCAGTGCACGCTACAACGGTATTAAATATATACTTTGTTTTTAAATGAAGTTTATTTTAGTACACACTATATTTTTCACCCTCTAGGGTCCCTGCACAGGCAACCAGCAAAGTTTGGCCCACAGCCGTCTATGGGATGCTGTAGTGGGTTTCCTGCATGTTTTTGCCCATATGATGATGAAGCTAGCCCAGGTATTTATTACTTATGATCCTTATATTACAGCCTTCTCTCGCTCTTCCTCCACAGGGTAACTGGGTCCATTGCTTTTATCTAATAAAAAACCCAGTTATATCAATTTGCAGAATTGTTCTGTTTTTAGACTTCAAAAACTGTTTTTTTTTTTGTACTAATGTAAAGCCTAACCATATGGCATTCTTTGAGTGTAGCTTTATTTAAACAAGCAAGATATCATTATGTGAGTGAATGATCCCTATTGTGGAGATGTGTTGATTGAGTCTTTATATTCACTGTAAGAGTGTTGTTATTTTATATAAAAATAATAGGCACCCCATCCTACCATACCTAGTTGACTAAAGAGTTTAAATTGACATCATGTACAGCACTTGGAGGAAAGGTAAAGTGTCTGTGTTGTCCAAAGTAACCAATCAGATGTTTGTTTTCAATGTCTCACAAGAAAATTAACTGCTTTAGCCTGATTTGGTGACTGTGGGTGACATACACACCATCTTTGTCAGAAGCACAGAGCTTTGTTCTCTAAACTTCCTATAATGGCTGAAAAGTTTATCTCAGTTGTGGATTGTTTTGATTCATTCAGAGTTCACCCTTGGAACCCTTGGGTGGAATAGGATTAAAAGTCAATTTACATAGAACAAAAAATGTAGGTGTAGTTCTCTTATTTGTGAAAAGGAATTCTGCTATTCCGATGGTGTGATAGAAAGTTGTTCTTCTGTTGCATCTTCCCTCTCTCCAACTGATATTACTGTCCATGCAGCTATAATGGTGTTCCCATGAGAACTTTTATATCTGCAAGGATAGCCTTGTCCACCTCATTGATAAGTGTTCCCTGTGACTTAGGAGGGTGCAAGGCGTGGGAAAACTTCTTTGTAGCAACATCTGCATTTAAGTTAAATTCTTTTAACATTTCAGCCAGTTCACTCTCTTACTAATTGACTTACTTTGCTAAATGTTTTTTTTATATATGTAAATGGAAGTGTGTTTTGGTGCACACGCATTACATTATAATTGGATTTATAAGTATGTATACTGTATAATATGGAATGTATGCTCTTCCGAAAGTTAAAGTGTATTATATACGCTATAATTTTTCTTAGTGTTGGATAGAATAGGGAATGGTTTTAACCACTACCACCTTGGTTAAAGCGTTTTGGTGGGGATGCATGCTAGTATTTGTTTTTGGGTTTAGTTGGCAGTTCCTCAACCATATGATGGCCTTACAAGTGGTTCTTAAAGCTGGTCATAGACAGTTTGAATCTCCGCTTGTTCAGCAGGGACTGGTCGAGATTCAAGCCATGTATGGGCAGGCTGAATGTACCCAAATTGATTGATTGATGCCTGTCTTTTTTTATATGCAATTATTGCTAGCGGCCCCACAATGGCTCCATGGATGGGATTCCCCCATCAACGCTGACTGTGTTAATGAGGAAATTTGATGATTTTCTTTCCTGCAACCACAGGTTGCAGGAAAGAAAATCTCTCCATCTTCGGTCGGCTTCAGAAATCTTCAATAGTAACAAATTATGTAGTCACCAACCCAGTAACTTTAAAGTATAACTAAAGGCAAATTTTTTTTTTAATTTTGGATAGAGTGGAGAGGGATTAAAATGCTTGTCAGTTTTTATTGCGGTCTGTTCCCCTGTTAAGGAGATTCACCCTCTCTATTTGTCCTGTTTACCATTATTATTAAAAGTGAAAGTAAAAGAAAATCCTAAATTTTGGGTTGTTCCCAGTAAAGTAAGAGGGGAAATCATCCAATGGGGACACTAGTTCTGGTGACCTGGGGGTCCCTAAGGAATTTACTTAATTTGGCTATGGGACAGGAAGTGAAGATAAATCTCTGCAATGAGACATTGATGATGAAAAAAAATTCTGACGGGTTATAACCGTCCCTTACTAGATCCAAAATGAACAAAAAAGTTTTGCCTATAGTTCTACTTTAAACTCCTGCCAAACTGCTGGATTTTATGAGGCATATAAATTTTCTGTTATTAATAGTACACAAAGCAGTCCTGACTTTAGAACAATCCCCTTTCAACCACCTTTGTTGACTGAAAATTAGACCATCACAGATTTTTTTTATTGCTCCTTGTGTCCATTAGGGTGATTTGCCTTCACTTTCTGTCATAGGGGCATAACAGGAACAGAGACAATATTTCTCCATAGCGAGTATAGTTGTCACCAGAAAAAGGTGTTTCGATGGAAAGATTTCCCCTCACCTTTTGTTCAGTGTCAGCTGTAAAATATTGGATTTCCCATTAGTTATTGTCCCAGTAAAAATGATCATTAGGACTAGGAGAAAGTGTGACTCTCCCCAGCAGGAACACAGAAAGCAATAAAAGCCAAACAGAGGTTCCAACTCTACTCTATCCAAAACTTAAAAAAAGAAAAATACACTTTAATAACTTATGAGTGTGGACAACATGCGAGTGCTTGCCACAGCTGCATGTTCAAGGAATGTGAGTGCTGCCTGCAAAGAATAAATTATAATTGATCTGATGAGTGTGAGTGTCTCCTCGTATTACAGCATGGGATGGTCAGCTTTGAGTGCGGATATTTGCTTTTACTCAGAGTGCAATCTTAGTTCTCTGTTATGTATGAAGACCTTTATTACAAGTGTGTGTTGCCCATATCAGTAGGAACTCCTGAGTTACAACTGGGGTTTATTCCCCTTGTAACTCAGTTTGGGTAGCAGTGTAATAAAGTTTGGTGTGGTGTGATTCTGAATAATACTTTTATTCTAATACATAACAGATGCCCCAAAATGGAGGACTACGAAATGGCGTAAGAATATTTCTCTGTGGCACGGCTGCGTTTCCTTATAGTGTCTGAGCTAGACGTGCTCCCTTCCCGTCTTCGTGTCTGTCTCTCATTCTTCCTTTGTCTCTGTTCTCACAGACTGATTCATTCTGTCCTTATGATTTCATCTAGTGCCTTCATATTCTATCTCTCCTCTTGTCAGAAAACTGATAGTTAAAGTGGAAATGTTTGGAACAGGGATGTAGGCAGTGGTTCAGTCTTTGGGCCCTTCATAGCTATATTGGTTTACCGTGCCCATCCTGTGCCTGTACTCTTCATACAACTTTAAAGAATTTACAGGGCAGTGATCAGCTAAGAACCATTTTGATAGCAAAGAAATGCATACCTAAGTATTTTTCAAACATCCTAAAAGTTTAATCCACGTACACTAATATTATAGTTATATGTAGCGCATGGTGTCATCCCCTGGCTTTTTATATGTTATGAATACTTCAACAGTGAGATCTCCCTTGCATTTCCAACTCTGTTCCTGTTCTAAGAAATTTGGTTGTCTGACTTACTTTGCTCGTTCCAGTACCTCCATTCTCCTTAAGATAAAAATTCCAACCAGGAGAGTGGGACCTGCTCATAAAGGTCACAGCAGATATGCAGACCTAGGAGTACAATGCAAAGATGTCATCAACAGAGTTCTCAAGAGATATAAGAAACTGTCAGATGAAAACATAATCAAATCACCCATATTTTGGGTGGCTGATCCTTTAGACATACTCATCAGTTTGTTATAAATATGAGCTTTGCTTCAATTGCAGCAAATGGTTGCTGTTGGCCAATATGCATGAAATAATTTTGTGATGTAACAGAAAGTCCTTCAAGATAACAATTACAAAAGTATGACTTCCATGTTTTTCTGTCATTGGGATCAAGCTTTGATCATTAACTTTTTTTAACTCTAGTCCATGAAATGTGCCCAAGTGCCATTCACAATCTGTTATTTAATTATTATAATGGTTTAATGAAGCCTGGATTCTCCTGAATGCCACCAGAAAAAAATAAATCCATCCAAAAGCAAAATAGCCTCAGTCAGTTCAAAACATGTCCTTTGGCTGCCAGATACAGATGCTTTAGGAAAGGTTGGGATTCTTAGAAAGCAGGTTTAGGTTATAAAATTCTTCAAAGACAACCTGTCACCAATTTAAAGAATTGAGGGTAAACACACACAAAAATCAAGCAATTTATATGCTTTCTTGCTGCAGTTTTCATTATTACAAACAACATTTTTATTGATTTACAAAGTGCCTCTGAATTTGATAGTAAATTGACTACTTCAAAACAGTCAATTTCCTTGCACAGACCTCTCTCTCCTTGCACATCATAATTCTCTCCTCTTTTAAAAGTGTCTAATTACTGTCTGTGCTGATCCATCATCTCCGCCCCTCCATTCACCTCAATACACAATCTTTATGTAGAAGCTTAAGGAAGGGGAATACTATAGAGTGTCACTTGAGTGACAGCTCTGCGTCTTCTAAGGCTGTTGATGTTGCATCCAAGATGGTGGTGCCCAGCAGTAGGCATTTACAGTTAAATAACATGCCTAAAATATGTTTATGCACATTGAATCTTATGGGAAAAATGTTGTAGAAATGGTCTGGTTACGGGGTCTCCTTTAGCATCTGAAGTCCACAGAAGAAGAGAAATAGAAAGGATAATGCAAATGTATGCCTTTTCATATATACCCCAAATAAGTTATGATAACACTGAATCCTAATTTTCTTTTTCCAATAAAAAAAAACCCTATCACAAAGTGTGGGCAGTTTGCAATTGGTTCAAGGCTTCTGATTGGCTACCTGTTGATGAGTTGTAGTTGTAGGGCTTTTTCTACTTGGTGCTCTTTGTTCCTTATTCCTTTACTATCCTTTCATCCTCCTATTTCTTTATATCTCTCTTTCTTTCTTTCTCTGTCAATTTACCTCATCATACCCATCTTCCCCCTTGTTTTGCCAGCAGCCGTGTGACAGTACGGAGTCGTGTGGGCATTGCCCGCTTTTTTTGGGGTGATCTCATTGCTTTCCTTGTGAATTGGCTCTTTTTGACATTTGTCAGTCACAGGGGGGAGGAAGGAAGAGGAGAGACAGAATAATCCTAGTCATGTCAGCAGTTTGGGTGAACCCAAGTCTTGATACCCGCTCTGCTGTTCAGCACTGGGACAAGGCTGTGGAGTGCAACCCAAATAATGCATGTCTTGAGCACCTATGTGCTAGGGAATAATGAACACAGGTAAACATTTGAGGCCTATACAGAACATAATGGCATCTCATGCAGCCAGGGAACACATGGATCCCAAGCTGGTTAGTCACTAGACACCACATCTCTCTCCCTCTTTCTCCTCCCCTCTCATGGTATCTGTCTGTCTGTTCCATGCAGCATCTTTTACTGTAGCACAATGTCTGGGGTGGAGAGGCAGGGAAAGAGAGGACACGTTAAACTGCCTTCCTCACCCCTCCGTGCTTAACCCCTTCATTGCTGGTGTGCCTTTCGTCTCTCGTACTCCTGCAGCTAAGACTTCCTAAAGGTGGGAAACCTTACTTAACAGTTATAAATTAGCTTAGGAAGCTCTCTTTGACCAAGTCTAGATAAACCTTTATGAGAGGATTGTATATTTTTTCAAGTTAATGGGCATCTCATGGTCAGCATGAGATGCATGATAGGGACAGTTCCTCCTGACAGTAGTAGATACCCAGTAGACTACGATATGTAGCAAGTAGCTTTACTGGCATAGAGTGCTGTAGCACTTTCTTTCATTTTGAAGAAGAGTAAGCAGTAGTCTTCGTATTTCAGTTTAGACAGAGTGTTCTTGTAACTTTTTTCTTACCTTGCTGAGGTATGAAGGTGCAGATATACAAAGGTAGTTCCATCACAGTGAAGAAAGCTCAAGTTTTATGTATATGATATCATAGGATGATTGTGTAGGTGTTTTTCCAAACATATTTTCCAGTCTTTAACTAATTTTGGAAGAACCAATTTAGTCTAAAGGTTTCAGAAGAAAACCAAAAGCAGTTCTGTGTTCACTAAGAATTGTCTTAGTAGTGCTTTCCATAGTACTCTAAACATCAAAGTACTGTAATAGATGGCATATTTAATGCGGCAAAGCAAATCTCCTTGTACAAAGTGTAGTAAATCACGGCAACCAGGCAGCTTTTAGTTTTCTGTTTTTAGATTGTTAGACCATAAAGTGTGATTGGTTGCTTTTGATTGTTGCACTTAAAGTAGCACTGTTACTTTAACCAGTCAAAAAAAAAGTAACCGGTTCAACTAATAGCCCACCCCCTGCGTTGTAGATGCTTACCTTCTTTGTAATCCCCCATGACCCCATTAGCCAGCCAAAAACTTTTACCTGGTATGTTCAGGTATGGCAAACCCTTCATCAATTCCCCTAATACAGTTCTTTTCATCTGAGGGACCAAGAACTGACCAATGGGAGCACTGGGAGGTCTTTAGTTATTTGCTAGAGCCAAAACAGGCAGACAAAGAGTTTACAAAAGACTTTGCAATCAGGGTTTTAGCATAGAAGCAGGGCAGTGGCAAAGTGTTGGGAAGGTAAGTATCATTACTAGGCAAAGTGGACCATCAAAAGAACTTGTTGCTTTATGCTGAATGGATAAAGTAATAGATTCACTTTCAATAAGCTCAGAAAATGTAAACGAACAGTAATGTGCAATACTTCATGGCAACCAATCAGCTTCTGGTATAGTGAAAAATATTGAAAGCTTAGGTGTTACTGTCAGCCATAGCAGAATATTAAAAGATGTTAGCTAATTCACGCTGAGGAAATTAGATAAATCTTCAAGATGTTCTTTTTATCATCTTAAGAAAGTGTGATATCCATTGTGAATTCAAATAAACCAAAGAATTTGATCTTTTGGTTTCTTTCTTACTGGAGGTGAGTGGCACTTTATATGGGATGGCATAGGGAGTAATGGCCATAGTGTTTGAACAGTGTGTTTTTATTGCATTGCATACAAGGATCATTTCAAGAGTCACTTCTACCCAGAGGTAAGAAGGAGATCCATTATTGTACTGATTATTTTTGTAAAAATACTTTTCCAAACATTTGAATAATACATTTTGGGTTCTTGACAGCTATGCTATACCTTTTTAATTGATTTTATTATATGAATGCATATTTCCAAAACTGCACAATCACCATGCACAATGACCATTGCCAATTTAGTAGCCAAGAAGGGCAAAGAGATGTCATTGAACCTATTCAGCATTCCTAACAGTGTCCGAAGACATTGCTTCATTCTCTATTGCCTTACAGCAACCAATGGTATTGTGTTTTACGTTCCGTCATACTACATACACAAAATATGACTATGCTTGCCTCAGAAATATTTGAATGAAGCCCATACCCCCATATTTGATACATCAGAATGTCTGCTTACATTGGGTTTTACTAGAAGCCTTTTATCACTTCCAGTCTTCCCCGGTTTAGATGTTGCACATAGGGATATCGAAGTAGTAAGTTGTGCTCACAGATTGGTGTGTTGCTGTGCCTTTCTTCCAGGACTCCAGTCAAATCGGGCTGCTGAAAGAATTGTTGGACCTGCAGAAGGACATGGTAGTCATGCTGCTCTCCCTTCTGGAAGGTGAATATGCTTCACTCTTATTAAACATTCATGAACCAGGATATCCAAAACTACCAGAGTCACGTGCTAGAGGAAGAATGCTAGTTGAAGACTCACAAGTCTTATTCATGTGCTCCAGTACCTGTTTTGGGGAAGGCGAATTCCTGATTGGATGTTTGTGGATGAATTACTGCCAGTATTGTATAAAGCATTTGGTAATGTATAAAAGCAAAGGAGATATGGTACTTCAACACTGCAACCATTGTTATGGTGGTACATGATTGACCATGATTGCGAAACACTGTTCTGAACGGCAAAACAAGAAATCCTTGAAAACATCATACCCTTAACCTTTATCCTCTGCATGAGCAATTGGATCTGTTTGGCAGATCATATGCATTATGCCAGAAACCTTCAGGGACTGCAGTTTTTCATAGCTCTATTTTTGTTAACAGTATTTGTAAAGGAGGTATTTTCTAACGATCCATCCTGCAGTGATCTTACATCACAAAATTTGATGAATTTCAATTATTTGAAACAAATACACAGTAAAAACAAAGCAGTACTTTCATTAGACATTTGGTTGCAGAGGTGTGAAAATGAGTTTGAGTAGAAAATGTGCATATACAGATCTGGGTTTGTTAACCCTTTTAAATGACTTTATATGAGCACAAAAAGGTGTTCTTTTTTCCCAGGCCTTGTAATCTAAAATGCACACAAAGTCTAGTTATAGCCCGATGGCACATAAGAGTTATTTTGTTAGTATTAAAAGTAAAGACTTGTGTTGTGTTTTTATTGCTGTTTGTGAACCTATTTGGGAGAATTCCCTCCTACGTTTGTCCCCCGTGACACTAAAACAAGAGGCAAGAAGAATAACGATCTTGGGGCAGGAAAACACAGACAACAAATAACCTTCATTTAAATCAATCCTTACCTTTCCACAATGTGCTAAAAAATACGTGTTTGGGCTAGAACTGGACACTGGCTATTAATTAGGTTTGAGGTTACATGGAAAATCTCTAAAATCTAGCAGGCTGTTGGCTTAAGGAGTATTTCTGAGAATGAAAATAGTAATGGTGAAACATTTCCTCTAGAGATTTACAGCACTGGTAGTAGATGTCAATGTGTTTTCATGCCACTTGACAACTTAGCACTAAAGGCTCTAGAAACAAGATTCATTGGTTAACATTTCTAGACTAGCCATAGTATGTATAAGCTGTACAGGAATAATAATAATGGTATTTTCAAACCCTAACCAAATGCTCTGTATAAAAGTTCATAATTAACAATAATATGTTTCTATTTTGTCTAGGTAATGTGGTCAATGGAACAATAGCTCGCCAAATGGTGGACATGCTTGTAGAGTCTTCAAGCAATGTAGAAATGATCCTTAAATTCTTTGATATGTTCCTCAAACTAAAGGATATAGTGGCTTCTGATGCTTTTAGGTAAAACTGATGTTTTATTCTTCCATTCTCAAACCAATTGAAATAAATATTAAGTAACATACTGAAATTTATTATGCACATTGTCTTTTGCAGAGACTATGTCACAGATCCTCGAGGTCTCATATCTAAAAAAGATTTCCAGAAAGCAATGGACAGTCAAAAGCAGTACACACCATCTGAGATCCAGTTCCTCCTATCTTGCTCTGAAGCTGATGAGAATGAAATGATCAACTTCGAAGAGTTTGCTGACCGCTTCCAAGAGCCAGCTAAAGATATTGGTTTCAACGTGGCAGTTTTACTAACCAACTTATCGGAGCATGTCCCTCATGACACAAGACTGCAGAACTTCCTGGAGCTAGCTGATTGTATAATAAACTACTTCAAGCCTTTTCTAGGCAAAATTGAAATTATGGGAGCAGGTAAGAAGATAGAGCGAATCTACTTTGAGATCAGCGAAGCCAATAAAACACAATGGGAGATGCCTCAGGTTAAAGAGTCTAAGCGTCAGTTCATCTTTGATGTGGTCAATGAAGGTGGTGAGTCAGAGAAGATGGAGCTGTTTGTCAACTTCTGCGAGGACACCATATTTGAGATGCAGATTGCTTCACAGATTTCTGAACCTGAAGAAGAAAAGGCAGAGGATGAAGATGAAGATGATGGAGGAGAAGGAGAAGGCGAGGAGGCTGAGAATGGGTCTGAGCCTCCAGAAGCTTCATCTGCTTTTGTAGAGTTTATGAACAATATTATAAATTTCTTTAAGATGTTTACCTACAGGAACCTCAGAAGACAGTATCGAAAGGTAATTAAAAATTTACTGTAATTTCTGCAACTGGCAGTTTTCTTGTAAAAGACAAAAAGCATAATGGCTAATGGGTTCCTGTTTATGTCTTGCTGACAAATAATGTAGATATATGAAACATAGTAGGTGCACAAACTAGGGTTCCTATCTCATGTTTCCAGGAGCTCCAATCTATATACAATACCAATTTCATGTGACCCGTCATGATGGTATAATAAAAAATGGCAACGACTCAAAGGAAGGTAGCAAGTACAAAAGTGATTTGGACACAGTCATAGATATCTGTATCTTTACTACATCAACTAGTGTCTGGCACAAAAAATTCAAAAGACAAGTATCATGTGACAAGTCATTAATACCATCTGTAGACAGGGGTATGTGGAAAAGGTATACACCTGATGATTTAGCGTTTTGACATATTAGAAGCAGTTCCATCTCATTTTTTGGTAGCATGGTGACAATGAACCTTGCTCATAATAACCATAGTAGATGATATTCCAGCTTGTTGAAGGAGCAGGTAAATTAGTAGCGGGTAACATTTCCATCACAATCCACCCCCTACAAACACTTACAGTGTATGGGGTCAGTTTACTGCCAGAAGTGTGTATCTATCTCCTAGCATCTGCACCTTGTAGAAGCACTTTTAAATTCATCATGTATATTAGGTATTATTTTAGCTATTCACCCCTTATCCTACTTTAGTGGAACGCTACCTGTTTGCTTTGCCTTCAACTAATAGACAGCATAAGTTTAGCAAGGTAGGTTATTTACCATGTGTAAGGCCTAGTGGCATAGAGTAACCAATTAGGAGTAATTGCATAATGATGCATACTTCAGTCTTGAAGCAGTATAGATATTGTAATTTAGGTACCTTAATTCAATTTTTGCAAAAGCAATTAGTATTCAGCAGTGTGAGCTATTGTCAATGTATAATGAATAACATAGAACGGTTACCTATAAAATTGCAAGTTCCTAATCTATGTACTGTGACCTGGAAACCCATTTTGACCTTGAAAGAAAGTGGGAGTAGTAGGGTGAGTGAGCCTGTTTAAATCTGTGACTCTGTGAAGTGTCAGTAGACCTTTCTATGGTGATTAGGTGGTTAGTTCTGACATGATATTCCTGCCATAGTGGAGAAGTGCAGGGGTACTGATATATGTGAGATAACACACTGAATATACTGTATGTGTTGGAGGGGGCAGTATGTAGGGAAAGTGCAATTCACAAGCTCTAACATTTTTCTAACATCATTCATAGCACAGCATTTATCTATGAAGTAAATCAAGGTTTTGTGAAATTAGTTGAAAGCCTCTTCTGATACTATTTAAGAATATAATTGACTCCTGTAGGTTTTTGTCACATCCAAGGGCAAAACTTATGTGATTGTTCTTCAAAGGCCAGTCTGAAAGCGAATTAAAACTCAAAGAAAGGGAAGTACAATAGACCATAAAAGTAAAGTAAATCACAGAATTTAAAAATATAGCCAAAAATATGTTTACTCATTGGAAATTCTAAATTTGGGTAGTGTAGTGTTGTGTTTATAACTATACAATTAGGAGATATAAATGTAAGTTAGGAGATTATAATGTGGTTATAAGTATAAAAATTCATTCTTAATTTTCTACAGATCAAGAAGATGACAATAAAGGAAATGATTATGGCTATTGCCTCCTTCCTGTGGACCTTCTTAATTGGAACACTTCACTTCATCTACAGTGTCTGCAAAGGCATCTTCTTCTTGATATGGCACACATTGTTTGGAGGTAGCCTGGTAGAAGGAGCTCAAAAGTTAACTGTGACTGAACTCTTGGCTAGTATGCCAGATCCCACACAAGATGAAGTTCACGGAGATGGTCTTCCTGCGGCAGAGAGCGACGAATTACCTGATGCTGGTGATGTGACGGACTTCACTGACGCAGGCAAAGAAGAAGTGCAAGAAGAAGGGGCAGAAATATTTGGACTGGAGCTAAAGAAAGATGGTGGACATTATAGACTCAGTGCTCCAGATGCTCCTGGAGGCCTGGGTGATATGGGGGAGACCACTCCTGTGGAACCACCAACTCCAGAGGGATCACCCATCTTGAAGAGGAAATTTGGAGTAAGTAATGTATGATTTTAAGATTGATATTTACCTTCTATGTAAGCAACAAGTATACACTATATTGCCAAAAGTATTGGGACGCCTGCATTTTTGAGGTCAGGCAAAAAGGCCTGGCTCGCAGTCTCCGCTGTAATTCATCCCAAAGGTGTTCTATCAGGTTGAGGTCAGGACTCTGTGCAGTCCAGTCAAGTTCTTCCACCACAAATTCATGCATCCATGTCTATATGGATCTTGCTTTATGCACTGGTGTGCAGTCATGTTGGAACAGGAAGGGGCCATCCCCAAACTGTTCCCACAAAGTTGGGAACATGAAATTGTCCAAAATGTCTTGGTATGCTGACACCTTAAGAGTTCTCTTCACTGGAACTAAGGGGCCAAGCCCAACCCCTGAAAAACAACCCTACACCATAATCCCCCCTCCACCAAACATTACACTTGGCACAATGCAGTCAGGCAAGTACCGTTCTCCTGGCAACCACCAAACCCATACACGTCCATCGTATTGCCAGATAGAGAAGCGTGATTTGTCACTCCAGGGAACATGTCTCCACTACTTTAGAGTCCAGTGGTGGCGTGCTTTATGCCACTGCATCGTACACTTTTCATTGCACTTGGTGATGTAAGGCTTGGATGCAGCTGCTTGACCATGGAAACCCATTTCATGAAGCTCTCTATGCACACTGTTGTAGTAATCTGAAGGCCACTCAAAGTTTGGAGGTTTTCAGCTATTGACTCTACAGACAGTTGGCGACTTCTGCGTACTGTGCACTTTAGCATGCGCTGACCCCACTCTGTCACTTTGCATGGCCTACCACTTCATGGCTAAGTTGCTACTGTTCCCAGTTTCTGCCACTCTGTTATAATGCCAATGCCACTAACAGTTGACCGTGGAATATTTAGTAGCAGGGAAATTTCACGGATGGGCTTATTGCACAGGTGGCAACCTATCACGGTACCACGCTTGAACTCACTGAGCTCCTGAGAGCAACCCATTCTTTCACAAATGTTTGTAGAAGCAGTCTGCATGCCTAGGTGCTTGATTTTCTACACATGAGGCCATGGAGGTGATTGGAACACCTGAATCCATTGATTTGGAGGAGTGTCCCAATACTTTTGGCAATATAGTGTATTGATATAAGATAATATGAATTAGAAATAGGTAATTTGTGTAGTGATAAAAAGTTGGAAATGCTTGTTTTTTCCTTTAGGATGATGAAATCCCAGAACATTTGGATGGTTCTGAGCAGCCACAACCAGCAACAGAAGAAGAGCCAGCACCAGAGCCAGAACCAGAACCAGAACCAGAGAAAGCAGAGTGAGTAAGAATTTATAAGCCATGGATCACAATAACCTCTACCTTTTACTAGGTCCTTCAGTACTGGATTGGGGACTTGTACTGTTCATGTGAATAGACCTATCCATGTGCATCAATGTTCCAGTGATAAAGGAATGCTCCAGTGACAGGAATAATAAGAATGAATGACCAAATAAAAATTGACTCAATTTTTTTTAATAACTACTAGTGGAAATGTGCATGTGGGTGGGGAAATCACAGTAAGTGAACATTACAAATGCTCTACAGCATTCAATCAAGAAAACTAGACAACTAATACTTTTAGATTTTTTTGTATTTGGTGTAGGCACACACTAGGGGCATCAACTGCTTAGGGCAAGTGTGGACTTCTTGGGTGTTACTGTACCTTTAAAACAAAACCTGCACTGGCAGAAAGACAGTGGCTGTCTTTTGTGACCTCCTTCACATCCACATCCATCGGATTGCCAGACAGAGAAGCATGATTCGTCACTCCAGAGAACACGTCTCCACTGCTCTAGAGTCCATTGATGGTGTGCTTTACACCACTGCATCTGACGCCTTGCATTGCACTTGGTAATGTAAGGCTTTGGATGCAGCTGCTTGACCATGGAAATCTATTCCATGAAACTCTTCCAGCACTGTTGTGCTAATCTGAAGGCCACATGAAGTTTGGAGGTCTTTAGCTATTGACTCTGCAGACAGTTGGCGATTTCTGCGCAATGTGCGTTTCAGCGTGCGCTAACCCCCTCTGTCATTTTGCATGGGCCTACCACTTCATGGCTGAGTTTCTGTTGTTCTCAGTTGCTTCCACCTTGTTATCATATCACTAACAGTTGACCGTGGAATATTTAGTAGCAAGGAAATTTCATGGATGGACTTATTGCACAAGTGGCAACCTATCACGGTACCACGCTTGAATTCACTGAGCTACTGAGAGCAACCCATTCTTTCACAAATGTTTGTAGAAGCAGTCTGCATGCCTAGGTACTTGATTTTATATACCTGTGGCCATGGTTCCAATCATGTTCCATGATTGGAACACCTGAATCCAATGATTTAGAGGGTGTCCCAATAGTTTTGGCAATATAGTGTATTTAGTGTTCGTCATTCTCACCTCTGGTGTAAGACAAAAACAGTTTTATCATTTTGTGGCTGTACAGGTGATTGGGTAAATAGATTTAGAACCTAAGCACCACATTGTGATATTAAAGTCCAAATGCAGGTTTATTCCAATGTTAAAAAGCCAGTGCGTTTCAGGGGCTAAGCCTTGCCCTATCCATCAAGGCTTATGAAAGAGGGATAAATGTAAGTGGCCTTGAATGTGTTTTTTTTGTAGTATCTGTAACTTCAATTGGCACATAACTCATGAGCAGCAGGTTAGAGCGTTGGTTTTCCAGCATTAGAATAAACTTTTATCTGAACTTGATTAATAATATCAGTGTGTGGCAGTTTGAATCTACATATTCCTGCCATAGGACAAGGTAACTTCCAGGCCTTTGTTGAAGCTGCCAGCCTATTGTCCCAACACTATACACATATACAATCTTAACCCCATCGGTTGGTATTACAAAAAAAAATATTTTTTTCAGGGATTCATTACCAAACCTTTCACCTAACTAAAAAGATGATTGGGTTTTCAGAGGAAGGGCATAAAAATAAAGTTCATGAACTAGGAATGGTTCTGACAACATTCTCTGTTTTAGAAAGGAAGCCAAAATTATTCAAACAGAAATTATAATAATCAAAACAACCTCAAGATGAACAGAAAAAGTCAAAAGATATAGCTATATAACCGACAAAATGGTGATGTGGAAACTGCATTAACTCTTAAAAATTTGAAGTAAATTTAAACAAGTAGATGTTCTTGTACAGATAGATATAGGAATGATATGATTTCTCAATACAAATTGGAAATGGCTTAAAATATGAACTGTTCTCGTAAAAAATATATTGTTTATTTCTTCTATCAGTAACTGCATAGTATTCATTTTGCAGCTAATTGCAAATTTTATATTTTACTCAAACTTAATATATAATGCAACCCATCTGAACAAAGAAAAAAAGTTCTCTTGACATTGTCCACTATTATTTTCAGTTTGGAGAATGGGGAAAAGGGTGAAACTGCTGTGGAAGAGGAAGCAGCTCCTGCTCCTGAGGAACCTGAAGAACCACCAGTTGAGGCCCCCAAGAAAAAGACTGCTCAAAAGGAGAAGAAAGTAGAAGCTGGAGAGGGAGGTTTTGAATTCTGGAATGAGCTGGAAATCCAGAAGACAAAATTCATGGTCAGTGTTTAAAATGTCCAATAACTTATCCTTCATCTTACATCACTGGCATTTGTCTTTCTGTTGATATTGTCAAGAATATTTATATTTCTATTACAGTAACCATTTATATGTGTTTCTGTGCAGAACTATCTCTCAAGGAATTTCTATAATCTGCGTTTCTTGGCACTATTCTTGGCCTTTGCTATCAACTTTATTTTGCTATTCTACAAGGTGAGTTCTTCTAGAGGTTACATCGTTAGTCTGTCTGAAAAAAGATAAAAGTCCATTCAGTTCAACCATAGAAAAAAAAAAAGTTGATCCAGAGGAAGGAAAAAAAAAACCCAGCAAAGCATGCTCCAATTTGCTCCTGCAGGGAAAAAAAATCCTTCCTGATCCCCCGAGAGGCAATGGGATATTCCCTGGATCAACTTTACCTATAAATGTTAGTATCCGGTTATATTCTGTGTATCTAGGAAAGAATCCAGGACTTTTTTAAAGAAATCCACTGAGCTGGCCAGAACCAACTCTTGAGGGAGTCTATTCCACATTTTCACAGCTCTCACTGTGAAGAAACCTTTCCGAGTTTGGAGATTACATGTCTTTTCCTACAGACGTAAAGAGTGCCCGCTTGTCCTCTGTGATGACCTCAGAGTGTAATATTTCTCTGATATGATTTGGTAAATGAAGAGTTCTTACCCAGAAGTGAAAGGTTTAACACAACAACCAAAATTTATTGGTGAATAGGATGGAGGTCTAAACTAACACAAACAATCTATCTAGTTACATAAAAGAAACATTATTAAGAGAGCTCGAACATATTACAAACTACAAACAGTGAAACAGAAAAGACATAAGACAAACATTTAGATATAAGTGCAAGGGATATATTCCATAATTACCATGGAACTGGATGTAAAAGTTCCATTCCCTTCCTCTGGTGTTCCAAACAGAACCTCTCTCTCTCGTGTCCATGGTTATAGGCCTCTCTTCCATTAATTTCCATAGAGTATCTCTGGTTGGTTGGCCAGTCTATTCCCTTTCATAATTGGCTAACTTCAAATCCGCTGTATTCAGTATACACCAACCCCCTTTAAGGCAAATCTTGGCATACCCTTTATGGAATTTAACCTCCCTAGCCGTCTGATTATGTCCATATTTCTGTGCTGAAAGCGGTACATTTTTTTGCATTGAAATATGTATTTTTTATTGTAGGCCTGTAATTTTTAGGAATAACTGAAATCTGTCTGAACAAGAGTCTAGTAAACATTCCGGGTAGGATAAAACTTGAAACACAAAATCATAAATTATAATTTAATAAATAATCATAAAAATAATAATATAATAATAAATGTAATTTAATAATATAATCAAACCAAAAACACTGAAATTTGAAATATAGCGCCAAGTTCGCACATCGCTGAGCAAAGTCGCAAAATCGTTTTCAGTGTCTGATGACGAATTTCCCCACAAATCATCACTCAATTCTGCAAGTGGTTCTGATTTACTATCGCTGTTCTCTAGCTGGTCTAAAACCACTTTTGACCAAAAGGGACGCTTTTTGGACGCCATGGATATTTCTCAGTTTCCAGGCAGAAAGAACAGTCAAAATGCAGGCAGGGCACAGGACAAAGCAGTAGGGACAAAATGTATGTAAAATGGTTTGATACAGTAATGTTTTACTATGTCAAATTCATTTCTAAGAAAATGACAGTTTCAAAAATTTTTTAAATTTGCCGCCGTTCCGGCCCCCATACATCCCGACGCTCGCAGGGACCGGAACACGGAAGCCGGATGCCGGCATCGGCTGGAGGAGATGGCCGGGGACACGTCAGGGGAGCATCGCGGGAGCGAAGGACAAGGTAAACGCTGCAGGGATCCCAGAGCAACGCCGCATGGTAAGCCCGAGTGTAGCTCGAGGTTACCGCTTTTGGTACTGAAACTTTACCCCGAGCTACACTCGGGAATACCGCCAGGGAGGTTAAGCAAGCCACTTCATGACCTTTTGCTGGGAAACTAAGTATTCATGAATGGCTGGCCACCTTCATTGCATATCTAAATGAGGTATCCTTTGAAGTGCATATTTGTGAAGCCAACAGGTTTTTGTCCCATTGTTAGATAAACTAACTCTGGCACCGAACTGTCTGAATGAGGATTCTCAGCCAAGATGTCTGTTATACAGTAAAGAAGGTGTAATTATTAGAATATTCCCTTTGGCAACTAAGGGAACTATAGAAGAGGAATTTATGGGAAGACATTTACATCCGCACTGATAAAGCTCTAACTGAAATATATATTTTTAATACAATATTATTTACAGTGTTTAATGAAGATTTCATATAAACTCATTATCTAAGTGAATAGCTCTACTCCGGGTTCACTATGCGAACCACTGATGTATTTATACATGTTGATCATATCCCCCCTTAATCTCCTCTTCTCAAGAGAGAATAAATTCAGTTTCTCTAATCTTTCCTCATAGCTGATCTCCTCCATGCCTCGTTTCAGTTTAGTTGCCTTTCTCTGTACTTTCTACAAAACTGTACTAAAATAACTGTAAAAGTAATTGCAAACTTACAAACAAATATATTTCATTTTTGTGAACAAACCCAGATTTAAAATTTAGCTCCACCTTTAATTTTACTTATATTTAAATATGTGACTACCCAAAAAGTGTGTGAATCACACCAGTCTGTATTTTCGACACAGTCTCTCTTTTTAAAATGAGTTCCACAAAATGTGTCCACTACAAAATAGGTATGTTTTCATCACAAGAGTTGCAGTCTTGCAACTTAATATTCCAAAGGCTCACAACCCTAAAAAAACACTCCTTTTCTGTCCGCAAACATATGATGCATGATGACATGTTCCGGTTAGGCACGCCCACCACGTTTTGTCATTAGACTTCATCAGGGAACAAGCTCCCAATTTAAGGTGGCGTTGTTGGGTTCAGGGTTTATTAATAAGATGAATTTGGTTTTTAATCCATGATAGTTATTTGAATGCTGTTTGTTAGTGTGTCATAATACTGACCATGGACTGCTTTACAATGTGCCACCATTGTTAAATGGATCTTTTTGGAAGCCATATATGAGATAAAGGACGAGTCCACCCAAAATATCAATTTCAGGGTTTTTTGTAGCTTCTGAAAAATGTAATCATAGTTTCTTATATCTCGTGGGAGTCTCCATCCTTAACAACCTTGGACTACAAGAAAATGGTAACAAAATTAGATATGTTGCCCTTATAAACCAATCAAGTGGTATCTTTTATTTTCTGGCAAAACGCAACCACAATGCTTTTGTTTCTTTTTTTCTGCAATTTATTTTATAATTCCCCTACATAGTTACATAGTTAGTCCGGCTGAAAAAAGACAAAAGTCCATCCAGTTCAACTATATAAAAAAAAAAAAGTTATAATCCTATACCCACAGTTGATCCAGAGGAAGGCAAACAAAAACCCAGCAAAGCACGATCCAATTTGCACCTGCTGGGAAAAAAAAAATTCCTTCCTGATCCCCCGAGAGGCAATCGGATATTCCCTGGATCAACTTTACCTATAAATGTTAGTATCCAGTTATATTCTGTGTATCTAGGAAAGAATCCAGGCCTTTTTTAAAGCAATCCACTGAGCTGACCAGAACCAACTCTTGAGGGAGTCTATTCCACATTTTCACAGCTCTCACTGTGAAGAAACCTTTCCATGTTTGGAGATTAAATCTCTTTTCCTCCAAACGTAAAGAGTTCCCCCTTGTCCTCTGTGTTGACCTCAAGGTGAATAGCTCTACACCGAGTTCACTATATGAACTACTGATGTATTTGTGCATGTTGATCATATCCCCCCTTAATCTCTTTCATTTCTATAAATCTGATAAAATGATTTATTTTTAAGTTTTGCCAGCAATTTTAGAAAATAGATGGCCAATCAAATGGATTTTGTAAGCGTCACATTATATTAGGTTTCTGCTTTTATTTCTTTTTTTACGTAAAAAAAAATGGTATTTAATAAAGTGAAAACCATGAGGCTGACCTGTCTTATAAATCATCAGGCAGCATTCACAGCATAATGTGCCAAAAGTGACAACCGGTATTTAGTACAATGCAATACTTTATCAAGTTCTTTCTTCTTTCTACAAAAAGCATGGATTGAGATATATCAATATTAACAAAGTAGTGTGTTCAGCCTGTGTTCTAAATGCTGCCAATATTGAAATGACATGAAAAGTTCTGTGATCTCCTTAGGTGTCTGATTCTCCCAAAGGCGAGGAAGATTTTGAGGGATCAGGGATGGAGGAGGAACTATCCATTCTGGATGAAGGAAGTGGTGCTGGTGGAGATGAAGAAGATGAAGACGATGGCATAGTGTATTTTTTCCTGGAGGAAAGCACGGGATACATGCAGCCGACACTGTCCTTCCTTTCCATTGTCCACACGCTCATTTCCTTCCTGTGTATCATTGGCTACAACTGTCTGAAGGTGAGGCCAATGATTACAAAGATCAATACTGGCTGGTTCCATGTCTGTACTACATTGTTAGCCTTTTTCATTTGTCTACTGTGTAAAACTGAACGCTGAGACATTGATCCTGGTAATATTACTTGTACTACTTAAAAAATATAATCTCAAGAGGCAGGTCATTAATTTGGACTGTACTATCAAGAAGATAAAAGAATTGATTGCAACAGTTCCATGGATTCATGTTACATTTGCAGCCGATTCAAACCTGGGGTACATTGACAGCTGATTCAAACCTACTGCTGCAACGCAGCACAAAATAAACACGTTATTGTACTGTGATGGTGTGACTGTGACCATAGAGTAATTATACAATACAATTTAGCTACATTTCCTATTAATGGGATTGTTGTTTCAAATTTACAGGATAATAATATGGAATGACTAGTTTCTTATGTTTAGGTCTTCTCTGTTCACTAGGTGCCTCTGGTTATCTTTAAACGGGAGAAGGAGTTGGCACGTAAGCTGGAGTTTGATGGCTTCTATATTACAGAACAGCCAGAAGATGATGACATTAAAGGACAATGGGATCGTCTGGTCTTGAACACACCGTGAGTGTAACCAATAAGTAGAATAGAAAATGAGTTACAATACCTGGGTGTTTTGTTTTTTAGAGTCATGTAGAAAAATTGTCTCCGAGAGAATGTTTTGCCAAGTAACAGCCAACCAGCTCCAAAACTACAGTGTAAAGTGGTAGGCAATGAATAGCCAATGGTGTGAACAGGCTTTTCTGGATAGATATTCTTTAAAGCAGAGCTCAAAAATAGTAATTTCAGTATCTATATTCCTAAACAGATCTGCACTTTTCCCTCCCTAAAATCATGGCAATGGTACCCATCTTATGGGTGCCTAGGGGGGAAAATGGTTAGTTGTCCATCTCTCCTCCCCTGGGCAAGTGACTGGACATTAAGGGAATAGCATATGGGATGAGGTTATCTCTTTTTCCCTCCTCTCTTGTAAGCATGTCCATAGTGTTAGATTGAACAACAGAATAGAATGTACAGTACTTAACTCTTGAGCACTGAAATAGGTGGCTACATCAAAGAGACAAGACTTTTCTATGATGTATGAACTTCTTCTCCATACTCCCTTTTCCTTCCTGCCGCCCAAATTTGTATTCTAAAAAACTTTTAGGCTAATACACAGATAATGTAGCTACTGTATATAGCATAACATACTGGGTTGTAAAATCACCTCGAAACCAAAATCTTTTTCTCTGAAACAGAATATAAGGTGAGTCAACAAAGAAAAAATGTACAGTAAATGCATGCATGTAGTGCATGTAAGCGACCCCTGGCTGCCAGTCGTGGCCTTGCTATGCAGCCAGAGCCTTGCAGTAAAGTGAGACACACAAAAGTTAAAGAAGTGCTTGTTGCAATCTATAAGCACTGCTCTCCCTGTGTTGGTGGGTCATTCACCATGATCCTTCAAGTGGTCTTCAGAGTCCATTGTGGGACCACAAGTGCAGTCAGACCAAAACATAGTATTATGTGAGGTCACAGTACTGGAGGTGAGCAGAGATCTGGTGGTGTAAGGATGCATGTTTGTGTTTGAAGCACTTGGTGATCATAGAAGGAAAAGAGTTTCACTGAGAAGAAAACACATATAATTATTTTTTTGGATTTTTTTTTTGGGACATTTTCTTTTGGACTTTTATTTTGTTTTTTTAAGTATATAATTATTATAAATATATTATTATTTTTTGTATTTTTATTACATTTGATTTTAGGTAGAGTTTCCACTTGTTGCGCTGCATTGGTTCACTTAATTTATGCAGCAGTTTTATCCTCTCTTCAAAACCCTATGTGCTACACACAGACTCATACCCTGAACTGCTCCTCCTCTGCCTTCTGGTTAACATAGTGAGAGGGCTGGACTACGAGCACCACATACACCCAGAGGGGAGCATAATTACCCCCTATAGGCATCTAGAGATCCACATACCTTAAGCCAGGCATTCTCAACCAGGGTTCCATGGAACCCTAGGTTTCCTCCAGATGTTGCTTAGGATTCTTTGAACTGTGACTGATTGACCTTCCATCTGATAGTGCCTGCAAAGTTCCGGGGCCAACGCCACTTGGCAGAGCCAGCAGCATGACAGCAATATAACTCCCACTGGAAGGGGAGAATTCTTCCCCACTGACCACCAATGTACAGGGCATTTTCCTAATGACCCCCCCATAAATTTATTTTAGTAGAAGTTCCCTGAGAACTGGAAGTTATTTTAAGGATTCTTCTGAAGAAATAAGGGTGAAAAAGCATGCCTTATGCTCTCTTCAGAGACCGGAGCTTTGTGAGGCTAGAGCTTTTTTTTGCTGAAAATAGCCAGACTTTACACGCAATGAAAACGAGTGATAGGCACTACTCAGAAAGGAAGAACTTGTTTAAAAGGCAGATTCACTGTATGAAATGGGAATGATGAACGTAGTAGTGGGATGTACGGATTTATGAACTGACTCATTTTTTGTATTTTGTATGTTTTTTTGCAGCTCATTTCCAAATAACTACTGGGACAAATTTGTGAAAAGAAAGGTAAAGTTATGCTGCTATACAAACAATAGCAAGGTTCTGGCCTTTGCTTATAGCTTCACTGATTATATGCTCTCCTTCCTTCCCCTCCTTACAGGTGTTGGATAAATATGGAGACATTTACGGTCGGGAGAGGATTGCAGAACTGCTGGGAATGGATCTGGCCAGCTTAGAAATCAGCTCCCAAAATGGAAAGAAACCAGAGCCCGATAATTCTATGCTGAGCTGGTGTGTTTACCTGAGAATCTATAGCTACAGTATATCCAGTCACTTCCTTCCATGCTTTATTTCAGCATAACTGATCATCCCTTCTTACTAATACCCCCTCCCCCCCCTCCCGCCATTTGCAAGATTCTCTTCCTAATTATACTGCCCTTTTCTAGCACCATTTTTCTTTAAGTAAACCTGTCATGAGAGAAGTATGGTAGTGGTCATTGCTTATCTTCTTCTGCAAGATTCTAGCAGGCTGGCTGTCATGCTAACCATTTTGGCCTCAAGGCTTTATAGGTTTTTGACTATGTACAAAGTATGCATTTCAGGCATTCTAACTTTCACTTACTGAATGTTTGTTCCAGGTTAGTCTAAAATGTCAGATAAAGTGTCTTTAGGAAATTATCAATGGCACTATCCTTAGAGATGCTCTTTAAAGAGACACTATCATCAGACCATTCAATTCATCAACAATCTTCCCTTTACACGCTACATGAATTTAGTTTCCATGCACACTAGTGTTTTTAAACTACAGTAAGTCCCCGACTTACGAACATTCGAGTTGCTAACTTTCACAGATACGAACGGACCTCGCATTATGAACATTCATAGATATCAGCAAATCGCGGACGTAGCTCACGTGTCTACCAGACAATGTCACAGCTGCATATTGTCACAGTTGTGCTGCTGTGTGCTTACTGTACTCTACAGTGCGACAGTGTACTGTACAGAGCCCAGGATGTCCGTAAGCAAGAGGAAAAGCAGTGGTGATGTGGAGGGGACTGCTAGGAAGCGCAAAGCAATAACCATGGAAACAAAAGTGAAAATAATTGAGAAATTGGACCAAAGCGAAAAGACAGTAGACATCGCTCGTTCTTATAACATGATTCGTACAACCATTGGCACAATTCTAAAGAATAAGGACAAAATCATGGAACATGTGAAATCTGCTGTGCCTATGAAATCAACAATAATATCCAACAAGTGTGGTAAAGTGATAGAGGAGATTGAGAAACTTCTCAGTGTGTGGATGCAGGATCAGCATCTGCATTGAGTCCCACTCAGCTTCATGCTTATTCGGGAAAAAGCTAAAAGCCTGTTTGAAGACTTTAAGAAAAAATGGAGTGAACAGTGTGCATCTTCTCCTGCCATGGATGGTTTAACAGATTCAAGGCTAGAGTCTTCACAACGTAAAAGTAAGTGGTGAGGTTGCGAGTGCAGACACCATAGCTGCCCAAGAATTTCCAGCAACACTTAGAGAAATTATTGATGAAGGTGCCTATTTACCCCAACAGGTTTATAACATCGATGAGACAGGACTGTACTGGAAGAGGATGCCAGAACAAAGTTACATCAGTAAAGAGGAAAAGGTGATGCCAGGCTTTAAAACCGCAAAGGACAGACCTTTGTTTGGTGGCAATGCTTCTGGTGATATGAAACTAAAGCCCTTTCTTAGTTTACCATTCAGAAAACCCAAGAGCCCTCAAAAACATAGCCAAGGGCTCTCTACCTGTTGTGTGGAAGAGTAACTCCAAAGCCTGGGTTACACAGGCCATTTTCCAGGACTTGTCTTTCCACCACTTTATCCCAGAGATAGAGAAATATTTTTTGGAGAAAGATATCCCATTCAACATTCTTTTGCTGCTTGACAATGCACCAGGTCACCCCCAATTCATAGATGACATTCATCCCAACATCAACGTAGTGCATCTGCCAACGAATACTACGGCGCTCCTCCAAACTATGGACCAAGGAGTTATTGCGACTTGCAAGAAATATTATTTACGTCACACTTTTCATCAGGCAGTGAAGGCTATTGATGAAACGGGAACAACCTTGTGACAATTTTGGAAGGACTATAATATCTACAAGACCATAAAAAACATTAACCTTGCTTGGCGTGAGGTTTCGGCTGTCACCATGAATGGGGTTTGGAAGAACCTTTGCCCACAGTTTGCTCATGAAGTTCATGGACTTGAGAAGAAGGCTAAGGAGTCCAAAGAGGCCTTCAACAACTTAGTGATCCTTAGTAAGAAGCTGGAGCTAGATCTGCAAGAGGATGACTTCCTTGCTTTGCAGCTTACTAATGAGGACCTGATGGAGTTAGAGGCTCAGTGAAAAGACTAAGAGAGCCAAGAGGAAGGTGTAACTGAAGAACTGAAGAGATTCATAACACAGGAAATGGCAAGGGGATTTTCTTTACTTGAAGAGGCACTGTTATTTTTGAGGCACAGAACCTTAATGTAGAACGATGCACAAAGGTTGCAGCAGCCATTCAGAATGCCTTCCAATGCTACAGAGTCATCTATGATGAGAAAAAAAAGCTACTCCTCAGATATCACTGGATCATTTTTTCCAGAAGGTTGACAGAATTTGATTCATCAAAAAACCTGTGTCATCAACATCAGGTGTGAGTGAAATTCCATCTTGCCCTCCATCTCCTATTGTTGATGATCATTCAGCTCCATCAACATCAGATGTGGGCCAAATTCCATCTTGCCCTCCATCTCCTATTGTTGATGATCATTCAGCTCCATCAACATCAGATGTGGGCCAAATTCTATCTTGCCCTCCATCTCCTATTGCTGATGATCCTTCAGCTCCACCATCTCCCACTTACCCTCCCTCCTCCAGTTAGTAACTCTCTTCCACTATATGCCAGCTGTGGTACTGTACTATACCACCATTTTAAGGTAACTGTAAAAGTAAAAATAGTTTATTTACAGTATTTTTGTGTGTGTTTGTTTTTGTTATGCTTTACATTGTATATTTGTGTCAAAGGCGTATAAGACTCACTTTGTCGGACTTACGAACGAATCCGATTTACGAACGTTCTCCCGGAACAGAACTCGTTCTTAAGTTGGGGACTTACGGCAATAGAAACTAATTGGAGCATTTTGTTTTCTGCTCCTAGAAGCTAATAGTGTTATCCTATGTATCCATCCACATTATTTTATGATAGAAGCGTTTTTCGAGCTTCAATGTTTAGGAGCAGAAAAAAATAATTTTTGTAGAGTTTTGGGAGTGCTTTCCCAGAGGAAAAAAATACTGAATGCTCCTAAATACCTCTAAAACGCTCCTAACAGCTTTTTTCTAGCTTTTGTACTGTAAAAATGCTAATAAAATGCTAACGCTTCTAAATGCTACTAAAACATTGCTACAAGTCGGCACAAAAATGCTATTATCAATATTTTCATCCAGCCTTTTTTTCTAGTGTTTTTTGAGCTAGTGTGCATGGAGCCCTAATGTATTTTATGCATGTCATTTATCCCTAAAAGCCTCCATTGTGTAGACATCCATGCGTGATACTGCTGCTGGACACCACCATCTTAGATGTCATGTCAGCAGCCCCAACAGACTCACAGCTGTTACGCAAGTTACACTCTATAGTTTCCCCCTTTGCTGCTCCCATAGCAGCTACATAAAAGGTTACATAGGAAGATAAGGGGTGGGGCTGATTTGCTGGGCCAGCATCGAGAGTAATTAGATGCTCCCAGAAGAGACAAGGTCTATGACATGGAAGGAGAGAGGGGGGCTATGCAAGGAATTGACTCTTTCTGGAGTAGATCAAAGGCACACTGCAGGTTAATAAAAATAATTTCTGAAAAGGAAAACACTGTAAGCATTTCAAATATTTGATTTTTTTCTTTTACTTGCAATTTAAATTTTAACAAAGGGTCAATCCACCCAAACACCCAAAACTCCTAGGTGTGATATCTTGCATGTTGTATCACATACTAGTCTCTTGTATCTGTCTGGAACATGGATAGTGTACCTCTCAGATATATAGAACAGATTTTTCCCCTCTCCCTCCTGCTCAGTTGTGTTGCTGACAGGTTCAGATTGGGGCTTAGGCAACATAGGCTGAAACACAGGACAGTGCGGCTGCCAAGGATTGCACACAGCTACCCAGTCAGTGGTATATTTTTATGTGTAATAAAATGTACACTGGGTGGTAGACTTTAAGGGGAGGGGGGGATATTTTCCTACCCTTCCAGTTATTGGTTTTATAGGGCTTATTCCCATCTTTTTCATTGAATGAACACACTTTTTGCACCATAAACATCCACAAAATCGGACATATGAACTATTTTGTGCTACACAGTGCATTGCATAGCACAGTGGTGCGTTAATGTGTCGTACTGTCTGCTGTAGCACTTGTGTATTTCCTTGGTGTATTTGGAGGCTATTGAAAATAAATGATATCTCATTGTGGTGACATATATAACAATTTAACATGCACTGCAGTAACACTTTTCTTTACCACAATGCTACAATAAGAATGAGCCCTAAGTGTGATACTAAAGTACTAAATCCAATCGTGATAGCCGGCAGTGTATTTCACTCTGATATTACTAAAGATGAATTCTAGGTAAGGATATTTTATGCATCGTTATACTGGTCCAGTTTGAACTAATGTAACTATGCATATACCATACCTGGATGATGCCCCTAGAAGCTGGAAAGCTCTGAAGTAGGAACTTGGAACAGTGATCTCTACTTGCTTCCAAGTCCTGCAATGAGTGGCTGGCCTCATGCATTCTAAATGCAGGAAGTTGGCTGCTCGGCACAGGTTGTGTTCAGAAAATACCTTGCATTTTCTGAATGAATGCAAACCATTCTCTGACTGGATGAAGTGAAGAGGCAAGGAGGAGAAGTGGGACAGCAATGTCCTGCTCTCAACCTTGTCCAATCAGAGAATGCTTTGCATTCATTCCGAAAACACAAAACATTCCCTGAACAATGCGCATGCAGAGCAGCCAACCTTCTGTGTTCAGAATGCAGCAGGGTAGCCAGCGTCCGGGTATGTTAAATTCTATACATTGTTACACAGGTCCAAGCTGCAGCAATGTAATCATGTATAAAATATCCATACTTGGAATTCATCTTTAATAAAATATTGGAAAACACAGGACCTTTGAGTATATTTAATGTTACACATCAATTATCTAAGATCTGTCTATGGTCATATATGGTCATGCCTTCATATTAAATTACATTTCTAGTTCATTTCTTTCCCTGTGGCTTGAGATGATTGTAGCCGTATTAGTGCATTTGCGACAGAAACAATTGGGTACTGTCCGTGATACTTTTTTTATTTGCACTAACAAACAATTTTAAGGACAAGCTTTCGGGGAGTGTCCCCCCGAAGAAGGGGGACACTCCCCAAAAGCTTGTCCTTAAAATTGTTTGTTAGTGCAAATAAAAAAAGTATCACGGACAGTACCCAATTGTTTCCCTGTGGCTAAAATTTTTGTGTGTTTCATTGCTTTGTTTACCAGCTCATTAAACATGTCCAGACTCATCTGTTATTCTCTCTTTCAGGGTCACTGCAATTGATATTAAGTACCAGATCTGGAAATTTGGAGTGGTCTTCACTAATAATGTAAGCATTGTTTGATGTGGACATTCACAGGCTTCAACATACCAGCTGTTGACAACTGTAATTTTTAGCATAGTCTGACCAGGACTTGTAGATCCACAAGAACTGAGTAACTTGTACATTAGTTTGGATTAGTTCTGGAAAAATGTATTGATATTGTATAAAAATTGAATAAATCAGTGATTTATTTCAGTACGTACCTCTTAGATGCCAAACAAACTTTACTGATCAAAAAGTAATATTTGGGTTCTTTGATGAACACTGTGGTAAAGCCTCATTTGTGTTTATGTACACGTGTCCAATATTGTTTTTTTTAATTTAAGTTTGTATTGTTTTTTTTCTTCCAAAGAGGGGAAACAATATAGAAAATAATATTTTAGTTGCAGTTGAACACAGTCCAAGATAGCCGATAACAACATGCCTGTAGTACTTTGAGAATGTCCAATATTGTTTTATCTGAAGTTCTTGCGCCACGTTTTTTTCCTAGCTTAAAAAAGGTAATTTTTTCCATTCATAATTTATCAACAGTCTATACGTATAACTGGAATCTCAGCAACAATTAAAGTTTTGACAGTGGTGGACTGCAGAAAGCTGGCAGGTCAAGGTCAAAAAGGGTTAAAAAGTTTGCTGGAATGGCAACTATAGAAATAGTCTAACTCATAAAAAAAGTGCATTCTCATTTGTGACAATTTTAGTTTTATTAACAAAAGACTTAAAAAAGATGTGTGCATATTCCATATTGTTGGCCATAAAGTGATCTTTACATCCTTCTTTGTTTCTTTATATCATTCTGATATTCTTTTGATATATAGACATATATTAAACATACTGTTAATTGTACAGTATATTGACTTCCATGTTCTTTTTCCTTCTTTTTTTTTTCCTTCCTCAGTCTTTCTTATATCTGGTCTGGTACTTGGTCATGTCCATGCTGGGTCACTACAACAACTTCTTCTTTGCTGCTCACTTGCTGGATATTGCCATGGGTGTGAAGACCCTACGTACAATCTTGTCCTCTGTCACACACAATGGTAAACAGGTACGGCTGTAGCATCATCATTCATGTGGCTTTGTTATTCAAAACACACTAGTCAAGAGATATTCTGTTTTCAGAGAAAATCCTGCTATATTACCCTGTACTGGTACTACTTGAGCTGGATTTAATTAAAAAAAATTTCCCCATCCCACCAAATTAAGTATACCCTTTCTAGATGTCTGTGTGCTGCTGGTGCCCCTTTCATGTGCTGGGATACTAGGATTTTAACAAATTTTTGTTGACACCAGGCAACAGGACAAGAAGGGCAAACCTCCTAACAGTCTTCAACTGGTTAAAAAATATAAATATATATATACACCACTTAAAAGTCAATATGTTAGTGTTTATTTTACTTTTCAAAATTTCACAAAGAGCTCCTTAAATGGCATTGTGACCACTTTATTGTCTAAAATATTCTGCACAATGGCTTTTAAGCCCTTCACTTCTCTCCAATCCTGCAGCTCATGATGACTGTTGGTCTGCTAGCTGTGGTTGTGTACCTGTATACAGTGGTTGCCTTCAACTTCTTCCGTAAATTTTACAACAAGAGCGAGGATGAGGATGAACCAGATATGAAGTGTGATGACATGATGACGGTGAGCACACTTTCTAAACTGTCTTCCTAGTTTGTTTTGTGAGTGCAAGTTGCATCAAAACCAGGTCACATTCACTGTATTATTATTTCTCATGTTTTATTTCCTCTTTCTGGTGTCCTCTCCATAGTGCTACCTTTTCCATATGTATGTTGGGGTCCGAGCTGGCGGTGGCATTGGAGATGAGATTGAAGACCCTGCAGGAGATGAATATGAATTGTACCGTGTTGTCTTTGACATCACATTTTTCTTCTTTGTCATTGTCATCCTGCTGGCCATCATTCAAGGTAAGCAATGGTCACCATCCAGTAACTGACATCAGTAAAATTTTTGACAAGTAAAATTAAGGTTTGACTTTACAAATAAACTGGCCTTAGTTTAGTATACATTTGAATAACTCGCCAATCACAATATCTCAAACAGCAATGAGAATAAAGGTTTATAATTAATCCATGAACCTTACAGGTTTGATCATTGATGCCTTTGGAGAGCTGAGAGACCAACAGGAGCAAGTGAAGGAAGATATGGAGGTAATTGTTTCATTCACAATCCCAATTGCTTCATCTTCTACTTACCCCTTAATTTCACATTCTGTTCTCACACGAGGATTCTTTAGTTTGCACCCCCAATCTGTGATGTAGCAAGTGTTTAAAGGGAGCATTCCCTTACACCAGTGAGGGTTAGCATTCTTAATACTGGGGGCCTCAAGTGCAGCCCCTGATATCTACACAGAGCTGCACAAAATATTAGTGTAATGCTAAAGAAAACTGTCAGAGACTGTAGAAATGGAACAGGAGATGGTCAAAGGCTAGACGCAAGCTATCAAAGATGGCCAGAGACTGCAATTATGCTACAGGAATTGGTCAGATATTACAGGCGTGCTACCAGAGATGACTGAATACTGCAGACATGCTGCAGGAGGTGGCCAGAGAGACATGTTATAGGATTTGTTGAAGATTAAGGATATGGTTCACAAGACAGTCATAGACTACAGTACCAGGGTCTGCTAAAAACCACTGCTAATAATGCTTCCACCCTTAAAAATGACTGGTGCCATATGTGATATTTCTTTCAGCAAGATCTATTATAAAAGATCAGAGTTAGAACACAAACATAAAAAGAGATATGGGATGGCCAGCCAGAATAACAGATAATTAAACCAAATAATTTACCTATGAAGTAGCCAGTCTCAAGCATATGTTTCCTTCACTGGTCTAAGTAAGCACCTAGGTAAGCAAAACACAGACTACTATCTCCAGGGAGTCACAAGTATAGGCCTATAGGTTGGGTACCAGGGCCCTAGACACTGGTGTACGAGCTGGCATTAGCCTTCTAGTGGTAAAAGTAAAATGCCAAACAATAATATGGTCTAGTTTTAGAGAGATTGATTCTATAGCTAGGAGCTGCCCTTAAATATGGCCTGGTACAAGCAAGCACCTACGTAAAGAAAACACAGACTACCATCTTCAGGGGGGCACACAAGTCTAGGGCCATAGGATGGGTACCAGGGCCCTAGACGCTGCTAAAATTAGCAGTCTACTAGTGTTAAAAACAAAACAGCAAAAACAACAATATGGTTCCCCTCAAATCTGGCCTGGTTTCCCATCGTAAAAGCCTTCTGTATTGGTCTATATATTTTTATTATCTCTCTCCCTACTCTATATTTATTCAAGTTAGGCATTTGTGAATTGATTTTGTGAACAGAACAACAAATGCAGATAATAAACCATTCAAGGTGGAAAAACAACGGAGTTTCCAATTGTGTGTAAAATAATGTCTGCGCAATTACTTGTACCAGATGTAATTATTTCCCAGCTGTGGAAGGCTGGACAGTCAGTATGTTAATCTTGTGTCTGAAAAATGAAAATCAGCCCATGTATGATTTTCCTTTCCTTTTACACTTTCTTATCTTTGTCTCTTTTCTTCTGCTCATCTCCATGGCTACTCCTTTTCTATTTTTTTGCATCAATATTCTTCATCTGGCTTTTCTTTCCGTTATGTTATACATGGCATCCTGCCTCATTCTCACAATATCATGTTCCATCTACTCATTGCCTTCTATGTTGTGTCCTCCAGACCAAATGCTTCATCTGTGGCATCGGCAGTGATTACTTTGATACGACGCCGCATGGCTTTGAGACTCACACGTTGGAAGAACATAACTTGGCCAATTATATGTAAGCTTTTGGGATTAGAAAAAAGAACAATGTATTATTTATATAGGTGAGCTATCAAACAATGTTCAAGCTGTTCTTGATTGGTCTATGCTCTCCTTCAGGTTCTTCCTAATGTATCTAATTAACAAGGATGAAACAGAACATACTGGACAGGTAAGTGCATTAGTCCAGCTATTTACATCATTATTTTGTATATACTAGTATTCCAAAATGGAACAACTATAATAGGTACTCCATGCCATTAATCTTTAGCTAACTGACCCTACTTTCTCTTTTGCAGGAGTCGTATGTCTGGAAGATGTACCAGGAGAGATGTTGGGACTTCTTCCCAGCAGGAGACTGTTTCCGGAAGACGTATGAGGATCAGCTCGGATAATGAATAAGTCTCACATATTATATTTAGGTCTTTCAGACCTTTAAAGCTACAAGAGTCATTGGCAATCATCTTCGTTATATAGTAGGTCTCCGTCTTTACCGATCCTTTTCAGTGATCTCATGGAATAATAATTTATTAACTGGAGACTGTTACATCTTTATAGTCCAGATGCCTTTAAAGAGCATCAAACCGTAACTGCAGAGATACCTGCCTGACTGTCACACCTTGATAGCCAGATTGCCGCTGTAAAGCAATGCATTTTCAGAGACTTCAGATGAGTATTGCTTTTTGCGCAGCGGTTTCTTTTGGAGCACTGATGTCCATTGCTCCACAGGAGCTTATTGCCTCACTGTCCTGTCACTGCCACCAAAAATAATAATCTATTGATATGCCAATGCCTTCACTGCCAAAAAGAGACTTAATGGAGAGACATTATTGTCCTCCTTGCTGTAGAGCAATGCACCTTTATCTTTGGTCGGTAATAATGACTCTTTTTATGCCCCTAATGCTGCTAAGCATGTCTACACACAAAATAAAACATTCAATGATCAATTAAAAATAAAGCAATAATATGATATAACATGTTGCTGTACATCACAGATCTACAGCCTACAAACCATTCTGACGCTTCGAAAACTGTTCTAAAAGTGTGTTAAATATGCAAAACGTCTAAGCATATAGATGGCAAATACACCATTTATAGGAACCACCATATATAAAGACCGTCCTTAAAAGACTGCTTTTGGATTGATGGGTATTTGTAAACATACTAGATCAGTTTCTCTCAATATACACACAGCAAGGTAACCAAGCGGCCAAAATTCAAAGCAATAAGCCGCGACTTGGCAGTCAATGTACCCAAGAGTTAATCTTTTGGCCCAGTATGGGAAGATTTTATAGTATTTAAGATGTTTTATATTTATTAAGAGCCTGTGTGCCATGAGGCTGGTTGTGATGCTGTTGGCGTCACCTGCTAAGGCCGCAGTGAATTTCAAATCGATCATCCGCCATGAACTCTAAACAGAAAAAAAGCATACAGTTCTTTGGCTGCCTCTAGAACACGTAGTCTTTATTGCTACTGGGGATGTGGCTTGTGTACCGCAATACTAGTGCCTTATACCTCCCTATGAGAGAGGCATACCGCAGTGTCACAATGTGGGGTTATTTGTGTATACTTTGTTGCTGCTGCTTGATTCATTAGTACACATATGGGTTTAGTAAATAACAAAATGCAAAGATTAGTACTGTTTAGTGACCCGTGGCAGCCAATCAGAATTTCGCTTTAAGGAGCCTGTGATTGGTTACTGTAGGTTATTGCACACCATTACTTCTTTTTTTCTGTTATTATCTAAGCCCATTAATGTCTGAATGTGTAGGTGAGGGGAGAGGGGGTTCACTTCCCCAACAGCCTCTTTTCAGCACCTGGACAGGGTATCACTCCTCTCACCGCCCTGTAGTTTATTTCCTGTATTCTCTGGAGGATTTTCTGTCATGTTTCCTTAATACAGAGGCAATAGATATTATACGGGATGGTACTGTTTTGGGGGAAGCTGAATTCTTACTTGTGCTGCATTTTGTCCTGTTTGTCTGTAATAAAATATTTATTGATGACGCTGTAAGACTTGCAGATGCTTATCTCTGAACCTCAGTGTATGCTAAATCCATTATGATTCTTTGTATAAAGTCAGAAATGTGTAATGAGAATGGAAGATCATGGTTTATTAGAAACATTAAACCTGCTTCTGTCAGAGCATCCACCTTCTGGTGAGCCTCTGACACCACCATCTTGTCTAAGCTGAATTCCAATACATATACAGCCAGGAAAAGGGTCCATTTGACACCTCCTGAAGCTGTGGAGACATCCATGGCTACTGCTATGCACAACCCCACAATAAGCACTGCTTGATTTCTGGAGGTGCCACATGGACCATTTTGTTTTGTTTCATATGTATGTGTTTTTTGGAAAGGGAGAAAGAAAAATTGTTTTCCAAAATTTTAGTAAATGGCCTACAGAGGGTCACATTTTGCAGGGCACAAAAGTGTCATAGGTACAACCATCTCAGCACAAGTTTATATTTAGACCTCATGCACACAGGGCATGAAAAACTTCGCTTTTAGAGGTGTTTTGTGTTTTTTCTTCTGCCTCTAAACACCCCTCTATGTTAGCCCATGTGTCCTTGCACACATATGTTTAAAGGCCCTTTGAAGCAGGATAAAAACCCAGGGCCAGTGTGTTCAGGAGAGGAGTGTTTCAGTGTCAAACAACACTTGCCACATCTAAACGCTCTTTAGTACTTGGGCGTTCATTCATACCAATGGACAGAATTATTAATATTCTGACCGTTGGAATGAACGAACATCCAAGAGCTTAACACGCCTAAACATGTTTGCAATACGCAGCTTTAGGTGCATTTATAATGCTTTTTCTTCCCCTGAAGCATAGGTGTCTAGATGTGGCAAAAAAATTGTCATGTGAGCATGAGGCCTAAAAGGGAAAAAAGACTGCCATAAACCATAGCAGATAACAAATTACTTATTGTGACTGTTCACATATGTACGGTGTTGATTGAAGCTCAGGTTTAACAACTAATTGACACAGTAATTGTTCAACGGTTCAGGACAGCATTTTATCCTGTTCACAACTGATGACATGTGCGGGTTTAGAAACGGTTACCTGAACCGGACTGCACTGCTCAGAAATCCGACACGAATCCTTTTCAATCTGCTCTGGATCCGCACTGCCAGTGCACTGGACATATGTGAACAGGCACCATAGGAAGAAATGTTATTTCACGTCATGCAGATTGAATGTGGCTCAAACCACATTCAATTTGCATATATGTGAACCCGGCACTAAGTGTGATTGCTAGGATTAACCTGTTTGCAATATAGAGGAGTTGGCAATCACCATTTTTTAATGGGTGACCAGTGAAAGAAAATCTCTTTGCTTCCTCTCTGATGGGTGTTGTACAGTACAGGAAGTGAGGGGAAATCTCCCCAATGGGCACACAAATTCATTTTCAAGTAGAGTAAGAAAGGTCTGTAATGTCTACCAGGATTTTACTGCAGTCTCTAACCTCACGACGGAGGTTCCTTCTAGTTCCTGTCCCAGACAGGAAACTGTCAAATCTAACAGACATATCTCCTGTACAGGGCTATTATTAAAAACAAGACAGGGGTTCTAACCCTTCCCAATACCCTTTAAAGCCCAACCTCCAGTTTAATGAGACCCTATCACCATTCATAACATCTATAAAGGAAAAGGCAAGCATCGTATGCCCCATTATCTCCTCACTTCCAGGTGTGTTGGACTTCCCCATTGCTCTCTTTTGTTCCCTCCAGTCCACTACATCCCCTGAAGGTGTAGAAATGAGAGCATCATAGCAGCACCCATAACTGCAAAAAAAAAAAAGCAAAAACTCTGCTTTTTCTAAGTAGTAATAAAGGATAAAAGTTACTAATGGTGGCAGGGCCTCATTAAGCCTGGGCAATCCACCACCATTTACAATGATACGCAATCATTTCAGTTGTGCAAGTGACCCTTCACTTGTAAAAATCAGAACAACATTTTGGTAAAAGTGCATAAAAGTTTTACTGCCAAGACATTCAACCAGTGTCTCCCATTAAATTGTCCACAACAGTGCCAATGCATGAAGCTTATACTGTAAAGAAGGATATTGGTCAGTTCCATTGGGAAGGAGGTGAGCCTGTTCTGAGAATTCCTGTGCAATGTCTCTTATTGGGGGCCAACTGTACACAGACCAAGCTACTCACCACTGGTCATACAGTTACATTGTTAGTCTGGCTGAAAAAAGACAAAAGTCCATCTAGTTCAACCATAAAAAAAAAAAAAAGTTATAATCCTATACCCACAGCTGATCCAGAGAAAGGCAAAAAAGTGAACTAGCAAAAGAGCCACGTGTCTGCCTGAAGGTAGGGAAGAGTTGTACCAGCTCATTACTTGTCACTGTCCAAATCCTGAGTGTGTCTGGTCAACACATTCATGGATGTATAAGTTGGTTGTGTTGCTGTTACCGGACTGAGGAGCCTCTACAATGATCTTGCTGCTGTAAGAGAGATGTGGAGAGGATTTAGAAATACACACAGGACAAATTTACCCCTAATTGCAAGCACAGGAAAAATTGAACTTCAACATCTGATCTCCAAAGGGCTTTAGATTGTTTTCCCACTGTTTTTATATACCATTGGACTGTCTCCATCGCTGAGCCAATCTTCATTGTTTCAACAGCTATTAAAGCTACTTTCTTTTTAAAAATATGGGTTGGGGTCAGGGTGGCCATAAATGGAAATTGTCTTCCTAAGGACTAGTCATGCTGACCATTTTCCATTCGTACTTTGACTCATTGATCTGCGATAATTACGCAGAGAGACTTTTGACTTCATTTTGATATTTTTGACCTGCATAACAATTCTGAATCAGCAACTCTGAGTTGACATCAGAGGGTCAGCATGAAAGCCCAGCAACTGGTTTTTGGCAGCCCCTGTATTTGTCTCAGGATACGTTTTCTTTCAAGGTCAGATGCACTTGTTCTAAAAAAAAAAAAAAAAAAACTAAAACATCCTGATGAATGCTGAGTGTTACACAGCTTAGGGAATTTGGTTCAACTGTCCTATGTATTTACGTGACCTTGAAAATACCTTTATTTTAACATAATACCAGAAGAAGCCCAACATGTTCTCCAAAAAATTGTCCACATTGGATATCAAGACAACTATCAACAGTCAGCAGCTAAGCAGATGCCATGGAAAACACAGGAAAACTGCTTTGGGCATCATGCTTTGGCACAGTTTTGCTAATTAAAGGGTTTTTTCACCATAAACCAAAACTGTGCACTTACTAATGACATGTCCTTTTAGCAATATCAGGATTTCCTGTCTTCTGCACCTTCCTAATTTCTCTTGGAGCTGCAATAACATTTAATGTCAGTGTTCCTCCATGAACAGTGAATCTCATACAAATATAATGGTAATAGGAGTGT